AACTCACACAAAGGCCGGTGAAAACAAGTTCAACCGCCGATAACTTGCTTTATCGCCAGGCTAGGCTCCCCTCCGGCACCTTTCCATACCCCGTACTCTCCGGCTAGGTACATCTCGTGCGATTTGTTGGGGTTGGCAGCCCCGCTTAAGTAGAGCCACGTGATTTAATGGATCATTGAGATTTCAGGCACATCGCGGCTAAGCCCACTTGTTGCATGTTGAATGGGAAAAAGCTCAGCCAAGATTGCATCATCCCAGTGGGCTGGCTTCCCCTTTGCTCTTCCTTACATGCAGCACATAATTGTTATTCGTGGCATCAGCTTACAGCCCGGTTGCAAAATCGATGGCGGTTATCTTACAGCGACCATCAAACTAATAGCACCATAACTAGATTTTTACATCCGTTCCTCACTACCTAAAAAGTGAAAAAATTGGTTAGACTTTAAAAACGTTATATAGGTACTAAATGAATCTTTCAGTAAAACAACTCGGCGTATGAGTGATTTTTCATACAAATATTTAAAGAACGTCTTTCGCAATTCTCTCTCTTTCTGAAAGCCAAGTGTGATTTATTATTTTGAGCCGCATTGTAAGGCCCCAATATTAGCATACGTGATATGTGGATCTGTTGTGAAATCAACGAAAATTAGTTGTGCTAATTAAGCCGGTCGTATGTATGCCTGGATGATAGCGTCTACGTGTTTAGTGGCCTATTGAGTCATCCTTATCGCCATTCGGCCATCGTGTACCACCTCCAATACAACCACAACCCCACCATAACCCATTGCAGTTGTCACACGATCCCTCAAGTTCAGCGATTAACCATTATAATTTGTTGCACTTGCGCAGCGATAAGCTGGCACTGAGGAGAAAACGAGAGAGTTGCACAGTATATCTACGTTCAATTACTCATCCAAATTGCTTATCACTTTTATTTTAACAGGCTGATGACAAATCCCTGCTGGCCCGCTTCTTCCATGCGGATCGCTCCCTCACAGCGGTGGCCAGCGAACTGGACAGCTTCGATGGACGCGCGGAGCCGGATCGGTGCACCAGACTGGTCAGCAGACTGCGGCAGAATCAGGTGGGTTTGGGGCAGAGTGGAATCCTGAGTGAACACAAACCAACAATTGCATTTTCAATCGCAGGACAAGGTGCTGGCTATTACGAACTTGATAATGGAGGAACTGCTCGGCGAAGATCGTGATCCTCGTGCCTTTCGCGCCAAGTTCCCCGAGGAGGTACTCCAGGAGAACTTGGCCGGGCAACTGTGGTTCGGCGCCGAGTGCCTCGCAGCAGGCTCCTCGATCATGAACAGGGAGACGGAGAGCAAGGAGATGCGACCACTGGCCCAAGCGGTGACCAAGAGTTTGGGAAACGTGCGCGTCCTACTGAGGGATCAGTGTTTGAAGAACAATGTGCCGAACAGCAAGACACTGCATCTGGACTTGAACGATTCCACCACGGAGCAGCTATACGAGAGTCTGAAGATCTTTGACCGACTGTTTGCCGAGTTCGAGTTGAGCTATGTGAGCGCCATGGTGCAGGTGAAGTCTCGCCATGAGTACGAGATGCAGCAGTGGATAGGAGTGCTCTTCTCGGAGACGCTGCAGCGAGCTCTGAAGATCGGGCTGCTCGACCAGGAGATGGTGGATGCCTTCGATCCCGGCCTGATGTTCTCCATTCCGCGGCTGGCCATTGTTGCTGGCCTGGTGGTCTATGCCAAGGGTCCGCTCAACATGGACATGCCGGGTGATCAGCTGTCGGAGATGTTCCGTCCCTTCCGCACAATCCTCATCAAGATCCGCGATCTCCTGCGTAATCTCAACAACCAGGAACTGTACCAGCTGGAGAAGCTTCTGTGTACCAACGAGGACATCAACACTAAGGTGGGTTAATCTAGACTTAAAATCAAAAACAACAATTTTAAGCCTAATGAATCTTTCATGAATCCAGGTGCCACTTGGTTCGAGCAGCATTGAAGCGCCCAGTCCAGAGCACAGCGCCCATCCTACGACGAGCAGTAGCCAAAACAATAACAACAGCAGTAACAACAACCACAGCAGCAGTAGCACCACCACCACCACCATGGGGACAACAAATACGCACAGGACTGTGGAACGGCTGGTGGATCAGCGAAACAACAATCATAATAGCAACAGCAACAGTAGCACTAATCCAACAGTGGAGGGAGCTACGCTGCGCTCTCCGTCCATGTTGTCGCTGTCGGCCACCAGCACGCCCACCGCCTCGCCAGCCCCCTCGCCCACACCCTCGCATTCGATAGACTCGACGTCATCGGCGGCGACAAGCTCCACTAATCCACCAGCGGACTGGAGCGATGGCGACGATGAGGACGAGGACGACGACGATATTGAAGTGGATGAAGAGGATCTAGAGAGCAGCGACGATGACACGGACGAAGAGCAGTTGCTCAAGGACATCGTGGCGGCGGACTGTGCCTCCGGTTACCTCATACCCAACACCAATCTGGGCAATCTACTGCAGCCCCAGGAGGTTCCTCTCACGGACAACTTCGTGGCCAGCGAAGATGACGAGTACGGAACGGCGGAACAGCAGGGCCACCAGGGACTCGAGGAGGAGGAGCCCAGCACCAGTGCTGCCATGCTGGCGGCCACCCGCACCTTGCAGCGGCTGCGCCTGCCCAGCAGCGACACCGAACCCCTAGCAGAGCCCACGACAATCAAAGCGACCGAGGAGCAAATGCAGCAGCCAAACGGACGCCATCAGGAGAGTCACAGTCACAGTCACCGCCATCACCAGCGCCACCACCATCACCATCACCACCGTCACTCTCATCAGCATCGGCAGCCACATCCGCATCGCACAACACGCAGTGGTCGCAAGCGTTGCAGCCTGGAGGTGGCGGATCCGGAAACAATTCAGCCCGAACGCGAGCAGAACCTAGCCAGCGGCGATACCAGTGCCGCCTCCTCGCTGTCTGATGATGTGTCATTGGCCATGCGCAACACAACGGCGCGTCTCAAGTTCAAGTAAGTAATAATAGTAGATAAAATAATCAAAATAGTTGTGGTTTTGATTCATACCAAAACTAATACATTTCTCCACCAATAGAAGCACCGAGAACCTGCTGCACCGCCTGTTCGTCTGCATCGCCGGGGTGGCCGACCAGCTGCAAACGAACTTCGCCTCCGATTTGCGCCAGATCCTGCGCAGCGTGTTCCTGATGAACATGTCGTCCGCCCAGGAGGAGATTGACATACCGGAAAAGACAAAGGAGTCGGAGCTGTTCGAGTTCCGGGCCTCCGAGAACGATGTGATACAGGAGAGCGCCGGCTCCAACCAAAGCATTTACTCAGCCGAGGAAGTAAATCCCGAGCTGGACAACGTGTTCAGCGCCGGCGGTGGCAACCAAGCCACTGGTCAGCGCCATTCCGCCGGCGCCAGTATGCAGCGAAATAATACCATTGATCTGGCGAGCCAGTCTGGCGAGGGAAGTCCCAGTGGAGCAACGATGTCCACCAGTCGCTCGCATGTGACGCGTAGTCGGAGTCTGGGGGATCAGGAGGCAGCCAGCTCGGCCACCAGCAGCACTGCACAGTTGCGTCAGCAGGAGCAGCAGCAGCAATTGCAAATCCAATTGCAGCGACAGCGCAACAATTCCGTGGGCAGTAACACGCCCTCAAGCGCATCTTCCACTAGCTCGAGCTCCGAGCAGAACTCCCCGGTGAGCGCCAGGAGTGGCAGTCGCCGTCGCCTGCAAAGCAACAACGAAACCCAGATGCCCTCTTCGGCAACGAGCACCTCAGCCACGCTTTCTCCGCCAGCCTGGATACCCGATGGCAAGGCACCGCGATGCATGGCCTGCCAGACGCCCTTCACTGCCTTCCGCCGGCGTCATCATTGTCGCAACTGCGGTGGAGTCTTCTGCGGCGTCTGTTCCAACGCCTCTGCGCCGCTGCCCAAATACGGACTAACCAAGGCGGTTCGCGTCTGCCGAGACTGCTATGTGCGCGAGGTGCGCTCCGGCATGGGTGTCCAGGGAGTCCAGAGGGTTCAGAGCGTTCAGGCCAGCGCCTCTTAGGACTGGCCGATGGCGCTAGAAGGCGCAGCTGACGACCAAAAACGTGGCCGAGATGGAGGAAAAGCAAACTGTGAATCGCAATTGTTCCGCAAACATTGTTTTCTTTATTTTATACGTAATCCTAATCCCATGCGAAGGGGCCAAATGACCACAGCCAGGGCCCGCGTATATAGATCATATATATCTTAAATATATATAACCCTAGCTATATATTTTTTATTTCCAAACCAATGACCAACTGAGCGTCTATCAAACGAGTCTACAATAAAGCTTCGAACTAAACTAAACGATATTTGTTCATATCAGAAGATAGCGCCAGCTTTAAGTTCGGCTTGCATTTTTTAACTATCACATTTTGTTTTCCGTTCTTCGTTTTTCGTTCTGGGACGTAGGGAAGCACCTTTTAGAGTGGACAAGAGTTTTTTACCCGTAAGCTTTAACTTGCAAAATCCTTTGTCACTAGCCAAGGCCTTACTGTATGGCAGTTAGAGGTATAGATAAATGTATATTTTTCTAGCGCTGAGTATCATTGTGCGATTGTGCGAACGTATCAAGCTGATTAGTAGGCGTTAACTGTAGCAGAAATTTTTGCGAAACATTTTTTGTGATTTATCGTAATTTTATATGTATTAATTCGCTTATGTTAATTCGTTTCTATTTGACCTAGCTGGAATAAATAAGTACGTAGATGTATGTGGCAAGATGAAATCCTTAAATTGAATTTCAACAATAATAACAACTATATTAACACTAAAGATAAACATATATATTTTCTGATTCAAACTTGTAAAAAGAATGTAACAAACGAAAAATCTGTAAATTGAGTTTAAGAAATATATGCAATTTTATGCTTAAATAAAAACCAAACAACTTCTCTTTTGTACTCAATTTTGGAAAGGGGCAATGCTGAACACAATGTATTACACTTCAACGTCACACTAATACACAACAATTTTTTTTCTTTGATTTTCTTCTTTTTCTTTGATTTTCGGTAGGATTTCTTCGTTGTCCTGCAATCCTTTGCGGTTGTTTTCTTTTGTTAGTTGATACCCAGAAGATGAAGACCATACAGCGCAAGATGTCCAGGCTCCAAAAGAGCTCCTCTGTGTATTCCAAGTCCGTTTCCATGATGCACTTGGAGGAGCGATTCCGAGATAGCATAGAGCCGGCGCAGATAAATCTTCTGCGTGATCTGGACGAGAAGTTCTTCTCAAATTCCTACCTGCTGGTGCAAAATCTAAGCGAACGCTTCCCCTTCCTCGCGGGCAAGGTTAAGCTGTACGTGGACATCCTCTCCAGACTACACGCGCACTACGTCTCTGAGGTGCACCAAGGTAGGGCAATGCATGAGAAGGTGAGAAATGCGGACGACAAGCTGAAAATGGCCCTGCGTACCACGGCCACCTCGGAGGCGATGATGGAGCACCTGCGTGAGTCCTTGGAGGAAGCCTGGCGGAACGAGGACACTACCAAGAATCGCGAGGAGACCATGCAGATTCAGCTGATGTCGCTGGTGCGCGGCGATCAATCAAATATGCCAAGAGTCATGACCGAACAGGTGCCAATCTCAACGTAAGTTCTTCCTCCATTTACCTCCAGTGGCTTTTCCTAATTTACTAGAGCTGATCATCTTCGCAGCAAGGACCTCCAACTTCATCGCTTGGTCCTCCGGGAACGCGATCGGCTGGCTGCCGAGCTTAAGGACTACCAAAAGCGCCTGCAAACTAACCGCATTTACTCGGAGACGGTGGAAGGCATGATTGAGGTATCCAAGGAGATTATCTCCAAGCTCAATGCGCGGGTGAAAAAAGCCGAGTCGGAGAACTTTAGGCTGGAGCACAAATGTAGTGTGGAGCAGGATAAGTACGAGGATCGGATGTTGCATCTGAACAAAGAGCTGGCAGCCGTAGTGCAGCAAAACCAGGAACTTATGCAGGCCGATAAGGATTTTGTGGAGCTGGCTGCCACCAACGAAGCACTCAGGCAGCGCAACGATCGGCTTTCGCGGGAGAACCATACCCTGACCAAGTCCTTGCGCCTCATGGAGGACGAGAAGAACAAGCTGCAGACGAGCCTGAAGGTGGCCGAGGGTTTTAACGATGCCCAGAGACGGGATATGGCAGATCTCGTAATGGCGCGCCGTGCAGCCGAGCGGGATGCCAAAAAAAAGGCTGACGACTCGGTGCTCTTGGAGCGACGATTCCACCTGCTGGCCAAAAAGAACACGGACCTCAACGATCAAGTCCTGGTTAAACAGTGAGTACATTAATGTTTTTAGAATAATGTGGATAAAACTACTGGCAACTCACCTTTAAGAAATGAGCTCAAGGTGCAGGAGAAAAAGATAATGATGGCCACCGCCAAGCTGGATGAGGCCATCCGCCAAAGGGAGGAAATATATCGTTCGCGGGAAAAACTGAGAGTGGAGGTCACCCGTTTGAATGACATTGTGGCCGGAGTGCGACACGAAATCGCCACCATTCGTCACCAAATGCAAGATTTACTAACCGATCTACTGCGAGCCAACAAGCAGCTGGACGAGAAGGACCTGCAGGTGCAGAAAATAGCTCGGGAAAAGAGGGAGCAGAGCCTGGAACTCAATGATGCCTACAAGAAGATCGATGGGCTTGAGGGTGAGCATTCGAAAGAAACAATTATAAATTGAAATTAATTCCAAATTGATTTCTACAGAGACACTTGCCTTGAAAGCGGAGCGGTTAGAGCTGCTCCAAGTGGAGCTGCAGCAGAAGCAGCTGGACTTCACGAACGTCAAGAAGCAGATGGAAGTGATCCACTCGGAGAAGGTCATGTTGATTAAGACGATGGACATGTGCTCAAGGGACCGCTCCACGCTGCAGAATACAATGACCAAGTTGACGCATCAGATCAACCAGATGACCAGCTCGCTGGCCATTAACGAAAAGGAGATTTCCAGCCTGAAGAACCAGATTGAGCAGCTGAACCGAACTGTGAAGCAGAAGCAGAATGAGATTCACTCGAAAAGTCGCCTGTTGGCCAGCACAAAGTCGGATCTTCGCGAGATGAAGATCCGTGTGGAGCAAGCCGCCCACACCATTGACACCGATGAAAAGCGATTCAAGCACATGGCCTGTGCCCTGGACGAGGTCACCAAGGAGAAGAGTCTGGTGGGCTTTCAAATGGTTAGGAGGAATGATGAGGTGCGCCTGCTAAAGGAGAAACTGGATATGATGCAGAAGGCCATCGATCGGGGAACCATGCAATACAACCAAAGGGTGGAGGACATCAGATTGCTCAAACTGGAAGTGGTAAACCTGCGAACTTCACACGAATGCATGCAGCGCGAGGTGGGAAACAAGGCGGCCATGCGCCATGATGTGATTCGATTGGAGCGACAGCTCAACCAGGAGAGGCTCAGGGTATCCGCCTACTCGGAGGAGCTGTCCCGCCCCTGTCGCATCCATCGTTGGCGTGTCTTGCTGGGCAAGGATCCGCGCCGTTTCGAGTTGATCCGCAAGATTCAACAGCTCCTGAAGCGCAACATACGGCTATCAGTGGAACGGGAAAAAAAGGCCAAAGAGCTAGCGGCTTTGGAGCACGTTCACAAGGAGTTCAAGCGCCAGATGACATATCTACCCGATCCGAGTGTGCGCCAGAAGCTCTGCATCCAGCAGCGCATCAATCGCCGCCAAACCCGCCAACTCAAGTCCATGAAGGCTGAGCTCAGGATCAACGAGATCGACCTCAAGACCAGGGAGCACCTGATAGAGGGTTTTCAGGAACAACTGCGCCTGCATCACTGTGAAAACAAAGATAACTTCATTGGTAGAGGGGATTTTTCTATTCGCAATGGCAAGGCGACCGATGATGAATTCACGGAACAAGTGTTCGACATGTCTGCCAACTGCGAAAGTTAATCTAAACGAGCAGTGTGATAGTACCAAATATACATACATATCTACATATGGAGGACCACCTCCATCGTCGATAGGGTATCTTTTACACTTTCAGAATATTAAAGAAAACCTTGTTATCAAAAATAATGTGTTGTTTATAGCATTCAAAAAGTAGCAAGGTAGCAGTAGTATTAGAGTAAGCTACTGACCATCTTGAAGCCCGCACCCAGAGTCCTAGGCAGTTGGGCGGGCGCGGAGTAGCAGTGCATCTGCTCCAGCAACTGACGCTCCTCCAGGAGCTTCTGCTTGTGCTTCTTCTCCTCTAGCAATTGGGTCTTGGTTAGAGCCAAGCTGGCCCGCATCTCTTCCAGCTTCTCCTTCTTGGCCTTCTCGTCTGCCTCCCGGGCACTGAGCTCGGCCTTCAGAACCTTCAGTTTGCGATCCTTGGCAGATAGGTTGGCCTGTTAGGAGATAAGATATATTAATCCCAATATAATAATCCCATTTGCATATACCTTAACGCTGTTGAGCTCCGCCCGCACTTTATGGCTGGGAAGCTTGAGCATGAACTCCCTCAAGGCCGCATAGAGCTGTTGGGCCTCGTTCAGGGCACGTTCCTGCTCCAAGGCGGCCACATTCTGCTGGAGCAACTGCTTTCGAAGGATACTTATGCGCCCGAGGAGATCCATTTTTTCTGGATCCTTGCCGCTCAGGAGCCGCCACCGATGGACGTTCATGGGCGTGACCATCTCATCCTGCAGGGCACGCGCCTTGATTCGTTCCTGGTTTAGCATGCGATGCATTTGCAGCAGTTCCTGGCGCAGATCCGCTGCACTCTCTCTATCCGCACGCAAGACATCCCTTTCTGTACGCAGATTCTTTATCTCCACGCCCATTAAACGCATGTCGTCCTGACACTGGCTGCACTGCCTCTGAGTCTGATCATACACCGTTTGCAGGTTCTCCTGGCTGTGCTTGAGTCGTTCGAACTCCTCGTTGCGTTTGGTCAGCGCCGCACTGATAGCATTCTTCTCGTTCATTAGGTTGTCAACATCCTTGCGCAGGCGCGACAATTTCTGCTCGTCCTCTTGGAGTGACTTGGCGTGCCGATCGTTCTCCTTCCGCTTGTCCAGCAGTTCCGCCTTGGTGTGCTGCTGACCCAGCTGGGCATGGCGGATATCGTTGCGCAGCAGACGGCGCTCCTTCTCCATGCGATCGATCTGCAACTGGAGTCTGGACATCTCGCCATCCCTGTACCCGATCTTCGCCTTAAGTTTCTCGACTAGCGCCTGTAGATTCACTAGTTGATCGCGAAGCTTCTGCCGCTCCTCATCGGCCACCTGGACATTGCGCTGAAGGGTCTGGCGCTCTGCGGCAAGAGCATCGTGCTGTTGCTGGAACTTGGAGCACTTTGCTTCCAAGTCGCTGATGGTGCGTTTCAGTTCAATCTCGTAGTTCTCCTTCAAGTGCATCTCATCTAGGAAAAGTGTGGCAATTAAAATAAAAAAAATTGCACATTAGGTTAAAAGCCTTACTTTGCAACGCATCCAATTTGTCTATCCAGTGCTGAATCTCGTCCAGCTTTTTGGTCTTCTCCTTCTTGAGCTTGTTGGCGTCCTCGCTGAGCTTCTTCAGCTTGGTGTCCATCGTGGTGATGGTGTCCTTAAGAGCCCGAACTTCGTGTTGTGCCTCTTGGTGCAGTGCATTGCTCTGCTCGAGCTGTTGGTGCTCCGCCTGCAATTCCCGCCTTAGGGAATCCCGCTCTTTGGTCAAGTTTTCGTTGTTCTTCTCGAAATGATGGACCACTCGGCGCATTGACTCCAGTTCCTTGTCTTGGGTGCCCAGCTGGGTTCTGTAGTATGTTGATTAGTATCTAGTAGAGTGTCTTTTATTAAATATAAGCCTTATACCTTAGCCTTATGTTCAGCGTTTCCACTTCTCGTTTGGCCTCGTCTAATACCGCATACTTCCGAGCAATCGCCTCCTGGGACTTGGCCAGTTTTCCATTGTCCTGGCGCACCTTAATCAGTTCATCCTCTCGAACCTTCAGCAGATTGATGCGCTGATTCAGAGCGCGCTTGTTCTTATCCCGTTCCTGTACTGTGTACTCCAAATCCACCGTGATCTTGGCCAGCTTGTTATTGGCTGCGTTGTGCTGGGTATTTAGGTGCTCTAGGTTCGTCTTGAGGGACAGAATCTGCAGGTTCTGGCGCACTTTCACTTTGGTTAAGTGCTCGTTAGCGGATTTCATGTGCGAAATTTGCTCCTGGTAGCGTGACTCTTCGGCCTTCATTGTGGAAAGTTCCTTGGTCAAGACATCACTTTTGCGTTTCAAGTTGCAGGCATCGCTGGAGGTTTCCTGATATGAAAATTATTATTTCGATGTTAAATTAGGGTAATCATATAACGAACTTCCAGTAGTTTGAGTAATTCCTTGTTTTTGGCCTCCAATCCTTCAATGGTGTTGTCCAGTTCCGTTGCGTAGGTCCTTTGCAATTGCATTCGCTTGTTGAGATCGGCAATCTCGGCGTTGAGGCGCTCCCGTTCCTTGCCATCGTCCCGCTTGCTCATGGCCAGCCGTTTCTCATTCAGATGGGCCACCATCTGCTCCGATTCGTCCAGTTTCTCGCGGAGACTTAAGACCTCGTCCTGAGCGGATTGTTCACGTATCTGAGCAGCATCCTTCTGCTTCCAGGCACCCTCTGAAAACTATTATTGAAGCTAATTTTATTGCACATATTTTAAAACTACTTACCTATGACCCCACGCAACTCCTCAATGGTGGCCATGTCCATTTTAGTGACCCGAGCCGCATTTTCCAAGCGCTCTTCAAGGCTTTCGATCTCCTTTCGCAGTTCCTGGGATCGTTCCTTCTCAAGTCTCAGATCGCTTTTGTAGCGACTGCCGCAGATGAGCAGCCTTTGCACATTATCCGCATTGTTGGGAGTATCCTTTTGCCGCAGAGCTTTGGTGGCCTGTAGATAATATTCGCATAATACAACGTTAACTTTAGATTTTTCAGATTGATACCTCAGGGATTTTGTCGCATAGTTCCTTGTAGAAGTCATCATCAAAGTCATCTGGCACAAGAGGCTCATCTTCTGATCCTGACGCCTTCGACATCTTTAAGGCCTGATTGGTTCCAAGTCTTATTGAACAAACTCATAGCCTTAACCTTGTCCTGGCAACAAGTTGCCATACCGGCACAGGCTGTCAAGGACAACGCAAAACGATTTGTATACTAGTAGTGTCTTTTATTAAGCTAGTAGTAGTATAAAAGCGTCATTGTGTTTCTAGTCGTCATGGAGACAAAGTACATGCCTTTGCTACTTAATGCATTAAAGTTTTGAGTGAACTTTGGAATTGTAAAAGGCTTATTATACTACATTTTACTAAATAAAAGCTTTTCATTCCTATTACTTTGAGCTTAAACGTAAACTATTAACTTAATATTGACTTGCTGGCACATCACATTAGCGTCTACGTTCAAATTACGGCCACTCGTCCTCGAAGGGCGCATCATTTACCGTGTGGAAACTCAGCCCAGTACCTTCGGGTTTGTGCCAGGATGGAAGCAGCACAGTTCGCCAAAAGGACCTGCATGATGTTACTTAAAAAAGGTTCTTCCCTAAGAAGTTTAACTTACCTGCCGCGCACCAAACCCAAAAACAGCTTCCAGTTCTTTTTGGTGCCAAAGTTATACGGATTAATATAAATGCGCTGTTGCTGGAGGTGCCGTTTTCGCTCCGCTTCGTTGATATGAGCCTCTACACTTGTCTCACCACGAGTGATTAGCTTGGCGTGCCAGATGGAAAGGCTCCCCAGAGCCAAGACGACGGCCACATTTGTGAATGCCATGAACCAAAGCGCTCGTCGTCGACCGGGCAAAGCGGCATCTGTGTCTACAATGGGTGTTGGAAGATTGTGCACTGCTGCAGGCAGCATAAACTCATCGTACTCATGCGGATGTGTCTTAGGTTAAAAAAAGAAAGTAAGATTAAGTAAAGAACTTGTAAAAAGTCACTTCACTGGATTACCACTGGAATGATGTGCCCACTGAGGTTAAATTTCACTGGCTGCCCCTCCAAGGGCTCAATTTCCGTCCAGTTTTCGCCATGATCCAGCCACAGGTATTTGTGGCCGATCTCCAAGCCAAACAAAATAAGAAACAGGCAACCCAAAGTGGTGTATGTCATGTAGAGGAAGAAGTAGCGATGATTGCCATATCCCACACAATTGTTGAGCCAAGCTATATAAGGAATATATGAAACTTAATGCCGAAAGGCTTTCCAAAACGACAGATACTCACGACAGTGATGATCCATCTTAAGAATGCAGCGATTGCAGATGGAGCAGTGATGTGTCCTCGGTGGTTTGGGAGCAATGCACTTGCCACACATGCTAACCGCTTCCACCAGGGAGACTCCTTCCGGCGGATGACCAGCCGGCGTGATCACAGCCATAACGTAGTGAAAAACCACATTGAGTAGCAGCCAATTGCCCACAACGAGGAGGAAGTAGGTCACCAACTGACTCTTGGCCCACCAAAAGGGCAAGCCAATCCAGTAAGCAATACTAACGACTGAAGTGGTCAGGGCAGCCACGCCAACCACAAAAAACTGAAAAAATATAGAAGAGCCTAAACATATAAACAACAAATTTTATGTTGCATAGTGTTACCGGTCCCAGGCAGTGAGTGTAGTTGTCCACAAACCAAAAAATGGGGGTCAGACAGACATCCGAGGCGTAGGAGGAGTTCATGTGGGCGTTGAAGGTTAAGGAGTGCCAGCAGTGCTTCATATATGACCAACGAAGCCGCAAAATAAATCTGATAAATAAGTAAACAATAAACAAAAACATTCCAAATTAGTGATGCATTTGGGGAGTGGAATTTTTTAAAGCTTACAGCAACTCCTGAGTGGAGTGACCCCTCCACGTAATGCGAGCCATTGGTAGCAATTGGTAGCTTTCTTATATTTTTTATATTTAAATTACAGCATTTTTGGCGATAAATAAACTTTATTTTGGCAAGTAAATTTGCAAAGTTATTTTTGGTGTGACCCTCTGCGCCAAAAAATCTCTTAGTCAGCTGTTGCCTATCGATGAGCGGAGACTATCGAATAAGTAGGCTATCGAAGTCGGTTTATCATTATCCACAAACGTTTGTTTTGCATTTTCCGGTGAAATTGTTGAAAACTTGTATTTTCAACATGCGTTCACGCAGCAGGAGTCGCAGCAGGCAGAGGCAACGTCGTCGGTCCGTTTCTAGGGCTCGTTCCCGGTCGGAGAGAAGGACTTACCAGAAACCGCAACACAGGAGATCAGTTTCCCGCGAGAGGGAAAGAGACAGGGTGAGGGAGAGGGAGCTCCACAGGGAAAGGACTTCCAATCGCAACTCTCGTCGCTCCAGAGAAAAGGATGCAGTGCCACACCGCCGCAGAACCCGCTCCGCGTCCTCCAGAAGCTCCAGCAGCAGCAGTGATAGCTCCAGTTGCTCGAGAAGCCCCTCCAAAAACCGCAAATCCCGCCCAAAATCCGTGGACCGCTGGCCCAACGATCGTTTTCATGAAAACAACGATAGGCGGCAGAATCCTTTCCGGGGACGGGCTGCCGAGGGTAGTTTCATTAATGACCCCGCCGAACCATCGTCCAGGTCCCAGCATAGAGGCAGAGGACCGTCCAACTACCATTTCAAAGGTGACTCCAAGGCTGTAAATGCCCGCAGGAACCAGAGAGTTCGCATTGGCGAGGAAGGCGTACCAGAGGTCTGGGGCAAAAGCCCATCCCGCCCAGAAAGCAACGAAGTGGAGCTGGTAAAGGGTTCCTACATAGGACCCAAGAAGAAAAAGAAAAAGGGCAAGAGCAAGCACAAGAAATCGGAAAAGAAGTCGAAGAAAAAGTCAAAGAAGTCCAAAAAGAAAAAGAGCAAAAAAGAGTCTAGTTCCTCCTCCAGTTCTTCTAGCAGCGAAGATAGTAGCGACGAGTCCAGCAGCTCAAGTTCCAGTTCTGACAGCGAAGATGAGTCCGATGAGGAAGATGTTTGGCTGGAAAAGACTGCCGACGGTATCAAGAAGCCTAAAAAGAAAAAGTCGTCTGCCAGCAAAAAGGACAAAAAGTCTAAAAAGAAGAAAAAGAAGCGTAAGTCAGAGGTTGAAAAGTCCAAGAAGAGCTCCTCCTCGAGTGCCAGCAAATCCAAGAACAAGGAAAGTTCCACGCACAACGACGAGGACGTGGGACCTTCGTTGCGACCCGGCGGTAGCCTTAATCAAAAGGATTTCGGCAAGGCCTTGCTGCCAGGAGAAGGTGCCGCCATGGCTGCTTACATTGCCGAGGGCAAGAGGATACCCCGCCGTGGTGAAATCGGCCTAACTTCCGATGAGATTGCCAATTTCGAGTCCGTGGGCTATGTGATGAGCGGCAGCAGGCATCGGCGCATGGAGGCCGTCCGTATCCGTAAGGAGAACCAGCTGTACTCCGCCGACGAGAAGCGTGCACTAGCCATGTTCAGCAAGGAGGAGCGACAGAAGCGCGAAAACAAGATTCTGTCGCAGTTCAAGGACATGATCCACTCGAAGCTGCAGGCCAAGGAAAAGAAGTAGGAAAGCATCATACTATGTTCACGATGTCTGCAAATGGCTTTCCAATAAATGTCAAACGCACATCAAGATGTCCAAATGAATGTCTCAAATTCGTCGCATGTCGTAACTTCATGAACTTATAAATATTTAATGTACAAAAACAAATGACGTTCGTAAATTAAAGACGTTTTAATATTCATAGAGTAACTTAATAACTTTAATAAACACGAATGTTTTTGGCGTTAAAGTGGGCGTGCAGATGAATAAAACAAAATGCATTTAGTAGAAAGACCCTGTACAGATGACATATTCCAAATATGCGATAAAAAACATTTTTTGGCTTTCCTGTGTAATAAAACATATTTATATTGACAAGGCGAAAAAATGTTTATTGCTGTTCGCTTTTCCTCTGCACTCCACTGGTTTTCCTGTCCACCAATCTATTCGAACTTCACTTCAGATCTGCATTACATTCCTGTTGCATTAACACAGCGCCATCTCCAGCGCGACAGCACACATAAGTATTATTAAAAATTCAGTCGTTGCATACTAATGAATCCAAATTATCATATATGGGAATATACATAACATGCCAAGGCTCTGCGGCCAAAATCCATATGGCAACGGATTAGGCCAGGTCGGTATGAAATACTGTCCTGGGACATGAACAGATTTTCGCCACGATGTTTTCGTGCCATGGCATAAACACAATAAATTGTTTGCTCCGCCTGTGCGTTTCATCTTCTGGCCATTTTTTGTTTCTTGTGCGCCGCCTCCATGCGCATGTCCTCGAGATCCTCTTGCATACCTGCGAAAATGACGTCAATATTAGGGGCTTTTATTGGCCATATGGTGCATTACGTACCCAACTTCTTGCTGATGTACTCCTCGCGCTGCATTTGTGCAAAACTGGATTCCATCCCACGATCATCGTCGTCAATTCCTTTATAACGCCGCTTGTCATACCCGAAAATGTCGCGGATATGGGAAGATATATCCTCCTCGCAGTCGCCATCATCGATGAAGTCATCCAACTCAGAATCGTATTCATCCTCATCATCGTCGTCGTAAATGCGTCCTTTAAAAATCGAACAAAACATGATATCTAAAATCTATTTAATAGCGAACATGTTGTTTACATACTTTTGCTGCCTGGCGGTTCGACAGTTTTTCGTCTCTTGACATCTGCGGGCGGGAATTGCCGTACTCCCTCGGATCTCTGAGCATCCGATGACGAAATCGGTCGCGTCTTTCCGACCGTCGCTTTGCTAGAACTGGGGCTAGGTTTTCCAACCGCCGATGCAGTTGGCGCAGGCCTAGCATTCAATGGAACTGTTTTAGTAGCGGGCTTAACACTTGAAGCAGAACTGCGACTAGTAGAGGAATGGGAATTGGAACTAGATAAACTGGTGGAGCTCGAGCTGCTTTTCGTTGGCTGTGGGGTCGTTGGTTTTTTAAAGCTTTCACTTGGCGGATTGGCTGGCTTGGCTTGATTTAGCTTGGGGATGCGTCCGTTGGACTCCATGCGATTGGGGGGGATGGATTTTGAAATGCCTTCCTTGCCTTCACTTTCCCGCATCTTGAGCCGCTGAGCGCGCTGCTCCGCTTGCCGCTGGCGCTCCTCCATCTCACGTTTCTCACGGGCCGACAACAAACGCTCCGGTTCCTTTTTTTTCTGCACCTCGAAAACAACGGGCTCGTGTTGTTTCTTTTCAGCTAAGCGAAGCAGGGCTTGGAAGTCCATGGGCGGCGGCTGAGCAGGTCGTTTTACCTTCGCCCGACGCTGCTCCTCCTCCTGCCGCTTTTTGCGCTCCTCCTCGCGTTTCTCTGCGTTCGGATCATACAAAGTTTTCGAGGTACTGTAAGAACGGGCCACGGAGGCCTCCTTCGACTTGGTAGCGCTGGATGGGATAGTGCTTGTGCTGCTCCGCTGACGTGTGTGACTCCTGGCCTCCTCTCTTTCCCTGGTAATGGCCGCCTTTACGCGCTCCTTGGTCCCAGAAAGATCTCTCAGCGATTGTGGCCTGCTGGGCGCGAATCCCTTGTCTTCCTGGACATCTCGCACTTTTTCGATGTATTTCTCGTAAAAGGCATTCGCTTCAGTGGACACGTAGCCGTAGTCATCGCCCTGACCCTCGCCCGCCTCGTGGCCATCGATGGACTTATCGTAGTCCTTGGCATCCTCCAACACTGATTTGTTGGCCGACTTGGTTACCTTCAGCATTTTACGTATCTTGTTCTTAGACTTTTCGTCCCTCTTGGCGAGCAGATCGTTCAGCTTCTGGCGCTCCTCGCGTTTCTTTTTCGCCTCCTCGGCCTCTTTTTTTTGGAGAAACTTCTGGATATTGTTGGACAGCTGCTTGGACTCCTTCGACTCTTTCTTGGGCGGCGCATACTTGGTGCTATAGTATTTCCCCTGCCCCTGACGATAAAGGTGAAAATTTGAATGATCAGATGTGGGTCACAAAGGGAATGCAGACGAAACCGCGTTCTCCGAGTTTCAAACCTCACGCAAAGGATAAACTGGACACCTGTGTGGCTCTCACCTCCTCCTTAGTGACCGCATCACTCTTCTTTTTCGCGTAGTGCAGCAGAGCTCCGAAATCCATTTTGTGATCCGTATTCTTCAATTGCTTTACTTTTAGCTCACCAATAGGTCTAATGATATCGATTGGCGATAGGCGTTCGACAGATGTGGTCTACTTTTCGTATCGATAAGAAAATAGAAACAGCACGTGAGTGATTTTTCGACACGCGCTACAATATATTAACGCAGTAAATTAAAAAAATATATTTTTTTAATTCTTGATAAATAATATTTTTCAATGAAAGAAAACTAAAAAAAATTAGTTTTACCGTCTTTAACTTTACTCTTCTGTAAGCCCAAATAAACCAAGTCGTCTTAATTTTAATAATTAAATTAGCGAATGTCCATTTTTAGCGGAGCTACACTCCTAGTGATGTTTACCACCCATGATGGTCAGTTTCTAAAATGTTAGTCTCCAAAGAAATACGCTTTCTTCCTGTGTGCGGTACGGTACACTCCCATAGATCGCGCCTCTGCTTGTTTAAAATTCGGCGACTGTTCACACATACGCGACCATTTTCAGTCCTAATAATATAAATAGAAGAAACCACTTCTTAAGATTGGTTTTTAAAAAACTAAAGGTGAACTGACAACAAAATATATTTTTAAATATATGCATCCCAGCAACAATTGGTGATTCCGAGTCAGCCAGGCGCTGGTCACACTGCGGCGGTGCTCGGGAAAACGTGGGGTTGAAATACCTTTGACCGATAGTGTGCCAATTCCACAATTAAACCGCAAAGTTTGCACAATTTGGCGGTTACCTCGATGTCTGCTCTTATTTACCAGACCCATTAACCGAATTCCGCGAGACGGAGTGTGAATTTTCGTTCAAATCGCGAGTTTTATGTGCGAAAGACTCATCTGCAGGGTGTGTTGTTGGTGCGAGCGAGAGGGCAGCAAGCGAATAGCCGACCAAAACAAACTAACGCTAGCCGGCGGAAAAGGAAGAAGAGGAAGAGCAGGAGTAGATAAGCCAAATACAATACAATTGAAAAACACCTTAATAAACATTCACACACACACACGCTCACACGCGGAGTCACACCCACCAACACACTTGCCTCGTTTAATCAATTAACGGGACAACGGGCAAAGAAACAGTTACAGTTCGCTTTCAGACGTCGCGTGCGAAGATTGTGTCACAGAGCAGTGGGATAATAATACCATAGTCCTTGGACACAATAGATACATAAATAGCCGCCATGCCCGCCGCCGATGAACTGCAGTCGCCGTCCAGCGAAATGGTCCTGCTGACCCCTAGCTCCGGCAATCCTCCCTCCAGCATAGCCCAACCAGTGGCCAATCCTGCCGAGAAAGCCCAGGGTCGCGAGGGATCCGCCGAGTCGGACAGCAGCAGGGTTGTGATCAAGAAGCAGCTGGGCCTCCTCGAAGGTGTGGCCATCATTCTGGGCATCATCTTTGGATCCGGGATCTTTGTGTCACCCAAAGGCGTTATCCGGGAGGTGGAGTCCGTGGGCGCTTCGCTGGTCATCTGGGTGCTCTGCGGACTGCTGTCCATGATTGGTGCTCTTTGCTACGCGGAACTTGGTACTGCCATACCAAAATCTGGAGGGGATTACGCGTATATCTTTGAAGCGTACGGATCGCTGCCGGCGTTCCTGTATCTTTGGGATGCCATGATGATATTCGTGTGAGTTTTACTGGTCAATATTGTTTGAATATTCTCGAACATTTCGTCGCTAAAGTTTCCTTATCTGCATTTGCTGCGAAAACATAACTACAGTATCAAATTGCTTTCAGTAATTGATTTCGAATTACCATATTATCGCCAAAGGGAACTTATTGAAGTAAAAGTAATAGCTCATTAACGTTTTCTTATAATTCTAAGTTTTTTTTTAACATAGATATTTAACATAAATTGAATGTTACTACAGAACTACAGGGTAGTACTACAGAACCTGATTTTCAGGCAAGGTCAAGTTCAATAACTTTTCAGATAAGACTAGAAAGATGGAATACTTCGGATCGGTGTGGATGCAGCTGCTTTTTCAAGGTTAAGCCATGGACTGTGTATTATAGCCGTAGAAAGTGAAACGGGCCTTATCACTTAATCTACGCTATATAAATTTATTTATTGAGGCAGTTCCGCGAGTTCTGCATTGAGCGATTTATTGGCAGCTATTTTTGCGGTTTAGTTTCGGCGATAAGCACAAATATCTGCTTTTCCACTTTTGCATGCGGACATTATCAGCAGAACATATGTCTGAATGCAGTCTGCAAAAAAAATGTCCACTGATTGTGTGCTCTTATCTCTTGCAGACCTACGACCAATGCCATAATGGGTCTGACCTTTGCTTCCTACGTGCTGGAACCCTTTTTCGGCGGAGCCTGCCACATTCCCAAAATAGCGCTGCAGCTGCTGGCGGCCATCACCATCTGCTTCCTCACCTACCTGAATTCGTACTACATGAAGGTGACCACCAAGATGCAAAACGTCATCATGTTCACCAAGATCGCCGCCCTGGTTATGATCATCCTGGTCGGTCTGGTCTGGATGCTAATGGGCAACGTGGAAAACTTTACGAGGCCCTTTGAAAACACTGAGACTGATCCCGGCAAGATGTCGGTGGCCTTTTACTCCGGTATATTTTCGTATGCCGGCTGGAATTACTTGAACTTCATGACGGAGGAACTGCGGGATCCATATCGCAACCTGCCGCGTGCTATTTACATCTCACTGCCTCTGGTCACCGGCATTTATGTGCTGGCCAATGTGGCTTATCTGGCCGTGTTGTCGCCTTCGGAGATGATCGCATCCAATGCCATCGCTGTGGTGAGAACTTAGCGACCTTGTCCCGATTGGCAGTCCGATCAGATTAGGCAGACTTAAAAGAGCTGTATACATAGTTATTTCTTAAACATAATGCAAGCCCTACAATGAACTATTTTTGTATCTTTAAATCGCTAAAATGCGATCCATTTCCAGGAATGTTAATTTATTTGATCGGAATCGGAAAAGTCAATTAAACCAGTGGATTTTCAAATGACTTTAATTGATCAAATCTCTTTACAGACCTTTGGCGATAAGATTCTCGGCGTCTTTTCACTGATCATACCCGTCATGGTGGCTATCTCCGCCTTTGGCGGCCTCTCCGTTCACATCATGACCTCCTCTCGCATCTGCTTCGTGGGTGCCCGCAATGGGCACATGCCGGCGATTCTGTCGCACATCAGCGTGAAGAGCTACACCCCGCTGCCGTCGCTCGTTTTTCTGGTGAGCTGTGCTTCTCAATTAGCGCACAAATGATATTATGTAATTAAACCCTAATTGATTTGACTGTTTTCCTCTGGCAGTGCTTTCTCTCCATTGTGATGCTGGTGGTGAGCGACGTGTATGTGCTGATCACCTACGCCAGCATTGTGGAATCGTTCTTTATAATGTTGTCGGTGTCGGCGGTTCTATATTTCCGCTACACCCGTCCCTGCATGGAGCGGCCAATTAAAGTGAGTAAAGCGTAATCAGTGTTGCCAATTTAGACGTTGTATAGCCAACAAAATCTCTGTAATGATAGAAAATGTTTCAAACGTTTTAAATGTAAATACTTTGATTAGATCTAAGAGCTTAAGCTTTTTGTAACACAAACCTATCTATATTTGTTGCTTTGACAGGTCGCCATGTGGATTCCCGCCCTATTCGTCATCGTGTGCGCCTTTCTAGTCGTCGTGCCCATCTATGTGGCGCCCTATGAGGTCGGAATGGGGGTATTAATCACCATAATTGGCATACCGTTCTACTACGTGGGCGTCGTGTGGAAGAATAAGCCGAAATGGGTGCAGAGCACGATTGGTGAGTAGCCCTTCACATTAACCCCAATGTGTGCCATTGTCCGACATTTATATGGTTTTCCTTTGTAGACTCGCTGACCTTCACTTGCCAGAAGCTCTTCATGTCCGCCAAAGAGGAGAAGCAGGACTGAACTGCCTTCAAAATGACACAAAATGGAAATATTGGAACCATTTTTCAAACGATCTAGCTATTTGGCCTTCCAAATGACTACCAATTAAATCTCTATCTTGATGTGAAAGCTTGAGGACAAGAAAGCTTGGCTCGCTGAACCTGAATACCAAAAAACGAAAATACCTAAAAAAGCGTAAGACCTGACCTGTACATCACAAGGACTGGAAAAAGAAGTCAATACTATTTCATATTTCTATATTTATATTTATAAACCATGACAAAAACGTTTACCTAAAGTGCAAATTCTTCGAATAGTAGTTTAGTATTGATATTTAGCTTAACATTTATTTTGCACTGAGTAAATTCTAAATCTAAACCAAAGTAAGCCAAAACTGTTTGCCAAAGTTGCGATATTCAGGTCGATATTTGCCATATAAAACAGTTTCATATCATTTTTTGTTGCTTATTGTTTAAATATTTGGTTATTGTTTTTGTCCCTCATTTTACTACCTAAGTGCATTGCATTGCAGTTTGTAATAAAGATTTTTGTACGTTGCAACGAAGCGCTTTGAACTCAATCTTTTAGGCGCTGCTCGCGAAAGTATGCCACAAGATTTCTGCGAAAGATAAAGCAAAACAATTGATAACGTTGAATTGATTGAGCATTGCGTGGGATGTAAGCCCATGCCTTCGCTAATCAATTAGGGCTGATAAGTAATGGGTCTATTTTAAGCCATTCACGACGGAGAAGTCGCGATTTTGGCCAAAAATAAGTCACCGCCTGTCGCCCCCATTGACATTTCGGACAATCGGAGGCTTGTGGGATGACGCCAACGCTATATTCGATCACTGATAGAGTATTCTGTGCGGATCCAGGCCCGCGTCTAGGTGTTTTTAATTGATAAAACTGGTGCGCTTATCTGGGATTCTCTGCACGGTTCGCAGGTGCGCCCATCTATGCGAAATCTGGGCGAGAGTAGTCGGCTGATTTGTATGCGCCGTATTCGGCGTCTCGTTTAATGTCTTTTTAAGTATTTATATGCAGGGAGGATGTCTAGTTACCAGATCGCTCGTAAAATCGTCTCAATCGGAATTGATGTTTTTTATTATGGCCAAATAATTGAGTTATTGCGACTGGCCGAGCATCTCAAGTGCGTTGGGAGGCTCCCGAACCGTGGTTGTAACTGCTTTATTACTAATATTAGATGTTAGATGATTGCTATCTCACAAGTTGGGGCCTCAGATAAACAATAGTCTGCTAAAAGACTGCTAATTGCCGGCACGTGAGTTCCGCCTCTAAAGAAGCCACCTTTCGCTCTTTACAAACTATTCCACATTTATTGATCGATGCTGACAGTTGACTTAGTGATCGGTATGGAGGCGTAATCTAGCAAATATTGATTTATTCTGCTTGACGTTTGCATAATCAATTGCATGCTAGATTAAATGGAAGTGCCTCAGACGACGAGGAGTTCCTTTTGAGCCAAACTGCTCATGTGATAATCATGCGATTATACTCCGACAAATATTGACACCTTTTGGGCCATAATTTGGGCTCTTCACAATCGTGTTCAAACAATTAAATTAGCAGCGGGAAAATACCTAAGCCGAATGGACCGAATAGAACCGGTAACCGAATCGTTTGCGAAACTAGCTTACCTGATTCAAATTTGATTATTCTTGTGATTTTCTTCTTGAAGAAAAACATATTTCTTATCTGTAGTTTACATATCATTGTTATTTGAAGAGACTAAGGGTAAAATCGATCACCATATTGGTTCTGATATGTTACTTGAAAGAATCTGAACTGCATTAACATAATGCATACACATCGTTTCACAAATAAGAAGTACACCTTTTCCATCGCAACTTTCCTCAAGCTTTTTATGACGGGACTCTGACAACTGAAATCCCACTCTAAACCTTGGCATTCAAAATGTCTGGCCTATGATATCTGGACAAGTCAATTGCAAATATCCGACTTCGTGTGACTACTGAATGGCCACCATAAATATATAAATAGATATCAGAGTGCCTTTATATATGCAATTTTAAACTCTATCAATCCCACATGTGGATCACGAACTGCCCATACATGTGTAAGCTCAGCGTTCTGTAACGCATGAAAAAACGGCTCAGATCTGGCAAAATAAGCTGAAAACGCTCCAATTCGTATAGCCAAAACTTGAAAACGTGCGAAAATCGCTCAATGAATATTCCCCATTGCCTCGGCAGCGAACGATCGGTTGGATTTTTTTGAGGACTCCGCTTTTAATTAGCGACTTTCGACATGACGTTGCCGCGACTTGTTGGCTTAGTAACGCGAAGTGAGTAGCCGAAAACAAACAAATAAATCGGCAAATTGTATGCAAAACAAAATATTATCGTGAATGATCGAGGGCGGCATTAGGTGCGAATTATGACGAGTTTTACCCTTTGATTTTGGCCAGCACTGATCGACATAATGACGCCCTTTCGGGCTTGGCGGTACCATTGAGCTTCCGTGACGTTGCGCATACGCCGTGTTTGCCGTGCGTTAAGTATACGCAGGGTGGTGCAGCCGTCTGCTGCTAAGTGGGCGACTTAGTGGGGTGGCTTGCACTATGTACCGATCCTCCAGTACCTCGCCAAATTCCCATCGATCGATCGATCGTCGGCTGTTCGCGCGACTCTTTTGCATTGGTGTGTGAGTACGTATCTGTGTGAGCGGTGCACGCGCTTCGGGCGGGGATTTCAGCTTTCGAATTTTCAAGTAGTTCGTTGACTGCCCGCTGAGGAAGTTGTGAAGGTGCTCCGGCAGCGAAACGTCCGCGCAGTCTAGAATCCGTCACCCGATCGGAAGGTGCTATAGCCGCTCGTCAGGAGTCAAGAACTTGCAACGGAATCACCATGAAGTTGGCCGCTTTCTTCGAGGCTTCGTTTTTGCTAATCTGCTGGTCGCAAGGTAATTGCATTGCCATTTTTGCGAAGTCCTGTGACTCACTCGTGTTTGTCAGAGTCTGAGCTGTCCAGATAGATATAGTGAACCAGAACAAAAATAGCCATAAATTGATATCTGTTCGTGGGAAGTACTTTTCTTTACGAATTAACGGTTTGTCATACCCCCAGGCAACTGTGCACTGAGAGAAAAGCTATCCCATTTATAGCAATTTTAGTTTTGTATTTAGATAATCTAAATATTCGGCGTATTTTTAAAGTTTCTTTTCTCTTTATTACTTATTCCCAATAATTGGTGTATATTTGATTTTTAAAATAGAAAGAAATTAGTTTTCGATTGGTTCTATTTGTACATTTCTTTCGTGTCTATTACGAAATGTCAATACGATATTGGTGGGATCTTGGCATTAGCAGTCATAAGTACACACTTCACGAAGCTAATTCTGACCAGTTAAATGGTGTTCATTCCACTTGAAACTGTCAATTAGTACATTTTATTGGCCGCCGCATGATTTAGACGTATTGCTGTACTTGAAGTTGTTGATGCCTCTGCTTTTGGCCAGACATTAGCACTTCAAACCCCATTCAAAATGTAATCTGTCAGCTGTGGGTAAGCTCTATAAATACTATTTACATGCTAAATGGAAATCCATAATCTCCGTGCTAAGACTTTGAAGTATTTATTTATTTCCCGAATTAGTACGGACCTAAAAGATCGATTACAACGAACAAATGCAAATAATAGCTCGAAGTAATATGTTTATAATATATAAAGTGGATGACATAATGCTCGATGGCCATACCTGACAAAATACTCAATTTAACTAATTTCAATTTATTATCTAAGACTTTGATAGCCGGGACTGAAATAAATAATATATATAAATAATAATATACGTTACCACAAATAAACAACTAATTAGACTAATTCATCAATCGACGAGCAGTGCACACAAAAATATGTGCTTTACCGACTTATCGACCAGTTGTGCAGACAATAGCACAATGGAAAACCATGTCATATGATATGTTAATTCGCAGCGAGCTCTTCAAACTGAAATTATCACCAATCACATGCAAATTAGCCGTTAAATAAGTATTTCCTTTCGCCTTGCAAAAGATTCCATGGAATTTGCTGCCAGCTTTCAATCGCGTTGGAAAATAATGAAAACTGTTTGCCTGCGCCATTATCTCGATCTAAATCAATATCAATCGCAGCGATATCTAATTATTGGCCCGAACGTGCCCTTGGCGCCCGCACTCTTTCCGAGCTTTCCCTGGAAGCCTCTTTACCCACTTTGTTATTTATTTGCCCAGCCATTGACTAAAAAAGAAAGAGACATTAAATATTTGCTTCGGAGCCCCATTTATTATGCCATAATTCACAAGTGCTCGTATATGTCAGAGATAGCCCCGGAAAATCGGGAGAAGGTCAGCCAAAGGGGGTGAATAGCACCCACGGGCATGGGCACGTGATCACTCATCAATCGTGGACTCAAGATCGCAGATTGCGGGAGACGGGCAGCCTGCAAGTGGGGAAACACTTTAATCATTTTGCCCGATTCAGGACTAAGCGCGCATTCCAGCGGCTAATTGATTGCGATTTTGTTGTGGACAGACTGCAAATAGTAAATCCAAACTTTTGTTCCGGAACCAAATGCTTTAAATAAGTGGCAAACATGAAGCATGCAATTTTGTAAATCACACATCCCTGCCCTTCCAGCTGTCAGCAGTCATGTCTTCGGCTACTCAGAGCCCAACCAGCGACGCTGGGCCCGCCATCATGGTCACTGTGCGGGGAAGACCCAATCCCCAATTGCCATCACCACCAGCCGGGTAAGAGCAGAAACTTAAGGTCCAGCCAAGCGGGAACCCAACTAAGCCTATTTGCCTCCTTTCAGACAATGGCCATTCATATGCCGGCGGTGGACATGATTGGCTACCACAACCTGTTGCCCTACCCCCTGAAAATGTTAAACAATGGACATACGGGTATGATTTGAGTTGATATCTATTGAAATTACCTATTTTTATCCAATTTGCGCAGTGTAGAATTAGTGCTAATTAATCCGGTGTTTCTCAGTTTCCATCAGCATACCCAAGGTGAATGTGTCTGAGGTGGGCGAGGATTTCCTGCCCTACATCCGAGGCGCCAAACTGCCCGGTGAGTTCGAGCTGGAGGGTCTCCACTTCCACTGGGGCGACAAGAACAACCGGGGATCCGAGCACGTCATTAACGACATCCGCTACACGATGGAGATGCACATTGTGCACCGGAACAAGAAGTACGCGACCATTGGGGAGGCTCTCAATCATCCGGATGGTGCCGCCGTCCTGGGTTTCTTCTTCAATGTGAGTGGTTAAGGAGTTTGAGGCGCCTGTGTCGACTGATTTTTAAATCGATTGTGTTGCTTACACAGCTCGACGAGGATGAGGGTCCTGGCCTGGTGACCATTAACCGGCATTTGCATCTGATTGCCGATGCCAACCAGGAGGCCACTCTCAACGTCACTTTCTCGCTCTCCTCGCTGATTTCTGGCGTGGATGTGGACAAGTTCTACACCTACAAGGGTAAGTATTTAAGCAATTCTAGTCTTATATTTTTGATCATCAGTGCATTCTATTTGCAATTGGTATTCAGTGAGCGCTTAAGGCGTCAATTCTCAACGATTTACTGACATCGAATCGATGTCTACAAGCGATGTTTATCTTTAATGTCACTCAACTAACACTGTATGTTGACTCTAGGTTCCCTGACCACACCGCCCTGTTCGGAGGCTGTCACCTGGATACTGTTCCCCGATCCCATTCCGATTTCGCCCAAGCAGATCTCCCGATTCCGTCAGCTGTCGGACACGCAGGATGGAGCGTTGGTGGATAATTTCAGGGCCCTGCAGCCAGTGGGCAATCGCAGGATTTTCGCACGCACAGGACACGTGCGCCACACCTCGATTGCCACACTAAAGCACGAGGGCGAATATCTCAAGTACGACTGGTTCTACTGATCTATCGACTCAAACTGGCAGCCGGATGTGGAGCACTGTGCCATCCCATATTAGGATACCTCTAAACTAAGCTTTTAATAAGTTACACTAACATTTAGTCTAGGCACTCACAGAGAATAAAAAGATTAAAAACAAGATAGAATGTTATAGTCGAGTTCCCCGACTATCAGATACCCGTTACTCAGCTAGTGAAACTGCAAACGAGATATTTCAACATTTTCTGGAATATCGGTAGAAATTGCAGATTTATCGATAGAAATTTACAAAACATTCATCATTCATTCATTTATTAATGAAGTATCCCACAGTTATGGACTGAGAACTTCAGTCTTGGGACATTTTCGACAACATCATAACATCAGAAAAATTACAAAAAAATTAACAAAAAAAAAAAATTCTAAATTTAAATGCAGATTTTTAGAGAATTGCTCCAGAAACATTTAAAGGTATGCCACTTGAAAATCGGAATAAGATAACTTGAGTTATGGACTTCAGAAATTCAGTCCTGGGCCATTTTTGACTTTCGACAACATCATAACATCCGAAAAATGACAAAAAAATTAACAAAAAATAAATTTCCAAATTTAAATGCAGATTTTTAGAGAATTGCTCCAGAAACATTTAAAGGTATGCCACTTGAAAATCCGATTAAGATAACTTGAGTTATGGACTTCAGAACTTCAGTCCTGGGGCATTTTTGACTTTCGACAACATCATAACATCAGAAAAATGACAAAAAAATTAAAAAAAAATAAATTTCTAAATTTGAATGCAGATTTTTAGAGAATTGCTCCAGAAACATTTAAAGGTATGCCACTTGAAAATCCGATTAAGATTAGTTTAGTTATGGACTTTAGAACTTCAGTCCTGGGGCATTTTTGACTTTCGACAACATCATAACATCCGAAAAATGACAAAAAAATTTTAAAAAAATAAATTTCTAAATTTGAATGCAGATTTTTAGAGAATTGCTCCAGAAACATTTAAAGGTATGCCACTTGAAAATCGGAATAAGATAACTTGAGTTATGGACTTCAGAACTTCAGTCCTGGGGCATTTTTGACTTTCGACAACATCATAACATCAGAAAAATTAAAAAAAAATTAAAAAAAAATAAATTTCCAAATTTAAATGCAGTTTTTTAGAGAATTGCTCCAGAAACATTTAAAGGTATGCCACTTGAAAATCCGATTAAGATTAGTTTAGTTATGGACTTTAGAACTTCAGTCCTGGGGCATTTTTGACTTTCGACAACATCATAACATCCGAAAAATGACAAAAAAATTTTAAAAAAATAAATTTCTAAATTTGAATGCAGATTTTTAGAGAATTGCTCCAGAAACATTTAAAGGTATGCCACTTGAAAATCGGAATAAGATAACTTGAGTTATGGACTTCAGAAATTCAGTCCTGGGGCATTTTTGACTTTCGACAACATCATAACATCAGAAAAATGACAAAAAAATAAATTTCTAAATTTGAATGCAGATTTTTAGAGAATTGCTCCAGAAACATTTAAAGGTATGCCACTTGAAAATCGGAATAAGATAACTTGAGTTATGGACTTCAGAACTTCAGTCCTGGGGCATTTTTGACTTTCGACAACATCATAACATCAGAAAAATTAAAAAAAAATTAAAAAAAAATAAATTTCCAAATTTAAATGCAGTTTTTTAGAGAATTGCTCCAGAAACATTTAAAGGTATGCCACTTGAAAATCCGATTAAGATTAGTTTAGTTATGGACTTTAGAACTTCAGTCCTGGGGCATTTTTGACTTTCGACAACATCATAACATCCGAAAAATGACAAAAAAATTTTAAAAAAATAAATTTCTAAATTTGAATGCAGATTTTTAGAGAATTGCTCCAGAAACATTTAAAGGTATGCCACTTGAAAATCCGATTAAGATAACTTGAGTTATGGACTTCAGAACTTCAGTCCTGGGGCATTTTTGACTTTCGACAACATCATAACATCAGAAAAATGACAAAAAAATAAATTTCTAAATTTGAATGCAGATTTTTAGAGAATTGCTCCAGAAACATTTAAAGGTATGCCACTTGAAAATCGGAATAAGATAACTTGAGTTATGGACTTCAGAACTTCAGTCCTGGGGCATTTTTGACTTTCGACAACATCATAACATCAGAAAAATTAAAAAAAAATTAAAAAAAAATAAATTTCCAAATTTAAATGCAGTTTTTTAGAGAATTGGTCCAGAAACATTTAAAGGTATGCCACTTGAAAATCCGATTAAGATAACTTGAGTTATGGACTTCAGAACTTCAGTCCTGGGACATTTTTGACTTTTGACAACATCATAACATCAGAAAAATTACAAAAAAATTAAAAAAAAATAAAATTCTAAATTTGAATGCAGATTTTTAGAGAATTGCTCCAGAAACATTTAGAGGTATGCCACTTCAAAATCCGATTAAGATTAGTTTAGTTATGGACTTTAGAACTTCAGTCCTGGGCCATTTTTGACTTTCGACAACATCATAACATCCGAAAAATGACAAAAAAAAATAAATTTCCAAATTTAAATGCAGATTTTTAGAGAATTGCTCCAGAAACATTTAAAGGTATGCCACTTGAAAATCCGATTAAGATAACTTGAGTTATGGACTTCAGAACTTCAGTCCTGGGGCATTTTTGACTTTCGACAACATCATAACATCAGAAAAATGACAAAAAAATTAAAAAAAAATAAATTTCTAAATTTGAATGCAGATTTTTAGAGAATTGCTCCAGAAACATTTAGAGGTATGTCACTTCAAAATCCGAGTAATATAAGTGGAGTTTTGGACTTTGGAACTTCAGTCCAGTAACATCAGAAAATCAAGATAGTTCTTGAGATCGGGGCGTTCATACGGACAGACGGACATGGCCAGATCGACTCGGCTATTGATCCTGATCAAAAATTTATATACTTTATAAGGCCGGAGAACGGGTATAATAAATTCATCGAAAGTCACCAATGAGCAAGTTTAACAGAAATCAATTAAAGTGTTAATTGGATAATATTTTAGGAATAATCAAATTGCTTAGATTAGTTTTAAATAATTATATTTAACTTAGGTGAAGGATTCATAGATATGTTATAGTTCCCAAGGCACTTTGAAGGACTTGGAATTTTATTTTAATAGAGCCCCTTTCATGTGATCATGTGAGATTTGCGACCATACAAGGCCAAGGAGGTGGGTATGTCCTCCACAAAGAAGCTGGCTGGAAACAGGACAAATGTCTTGTGGAGTAGATCTAGTAGTGTTCGCTCCACGGTTTCACGTACCAGTGGACACAGTGCCTCGAAGACATTCTTCCAATTGTCGTTAAAGAACTGATTGGTGCTTTCTTCCACCTCCTTGCTGTGCCCATTGAAGAGGTTATCCATTCTGGTGCGCACTTTGCCGACCTCCAATTGTACATTCACTGAAGTCACGTTGTAGAATGTGTAGCCGCCCTTCTCGTAGAGGCGCGTCTTGGCGCTCATCAGTATGTCCAGATCATCTATCAGCGGCAATACATTCGTTTATCTGCCATTTAGTAGCAAATATCATTCGCATTTACCTATTTCCATGACGATTTTTCCATTTCCCTGCAGAGGCACCAGCAAAATGCGACCGAGCATTTTGTAGTGACCATCCATTCGCATTTGGGGCAGATAGATCTTCGTTAGCCAGCTAAAATCCTTCTTGCTGACCCTGGTGGGAAAGTATAGATACAAGTTATACAACAATAAAAATATGTATTGTTTTTCAAATGTTTTACTCCTATTTATCAGTTTTTATTATTCAAAGATTGAGACTGGCAATACCACGTGCGCGAAACTAATTGATTGATCAATGTTAAATAGCATTTAATAGTCTAAATCGCGTTATGATATTATAATGTATACAGATATAGAAACGTAAGTGCATTATCAAATCGGAAAAACTCATGTCTGGGAGTTTCCCATTAAAGATGTTCGGCTATACGAGCTCAACGACCTCAATGGAGCAACTTTTGATTGCTCTTGACGGCTGGGTGGAATCGACAGCTACTCACTTGCTCTCCTTGATCACCATTTTGCCAAAGCCACTGATCAGCATATCCGTAAGATTGGCGGAAAGGGTGGCGACGTCGCTGTTAGCCTGCTTGAACACCAGCTGTTCCTGCCTCATGGGATCGATGGGTCCAAAGGATGCCTCTATTTCGGGCACACCTGGAGGATAATAACAAGTAAGTCGCTTAATTCGTGGCTAGCATATTGATATCTCACCTTTGACGAGCTGGTTCATAAATCCCTGTATGGAGCGAGTTGAGCACTTGGTGAACTCCGGTTCGTAAATCTTACATGACTCAATGTAGGAGGCTGCAAAGAAAGCATATTTATAAATAAATAAAAGTGATTAAATAGCACACACTATATATAGTATTTATTGGTTTTGCACCTTTAATAGTTTTCCGCTTTGGTACACTCCTTAAGTTGATAGCTCCAATAGTACATATTTAAATGTACTTTTGAGGACTTACGTTTTTCCGTGTAGAACGCAACGCACTGGTTTCCTTGAAAGCCGGCATGGAGCAGCATTAGTAATCCAATTAGGAGCATGGTGGAAAGCTGGCGTCACTGTCACTGCCGGAATCCCAGTCACAATCCGCGGAGATCCTTAATCGAGTTTACTACGCACGAGCTACGAATGAGATACAACTCGTAGTGGTGCCAGCTTTTATCTGGACCATGTATATATCCGATGCATATATATCTCGGCTGCAATTGATGAATTGAATCTGAAGTCTCTGGGTAATACCAGAATCGAGCCGTTTTCATTTGCTCGCAATGCAAAACTAAATTTATTCTATTTTTATTGCACGACTGACGAGAACGTCACATAATAAAAAAATTTCAATAAGTTTTCTTAAAAAAGTAATAAATAATGGAAATGATTTGGAATTAAACTTATACTTGTCGATAATTTTAGATAGAGAGGCGTATTAAAAATGTTGCTATTAAATTTTGTCAGATGGAAGATATTGAAATAACAAAGTGGATATTTATCAGAAGCAGCTTTTCTCGCTGTGTAGCTAACTTTAACTGTAGCGATTTTACCTTGCATCCGAACCGGTAAGCCAATTTAATATATACATAGCTGGAAAATACGCTGACAACTATGGCACGAACAAAACAATGTTTGTATCTTTGTATTCGGCTCTGCTCGGATGTGGGCAAACTTAATTGCTTGAACCGAGGTGCAATAAAAAGTTTAGATGCCATAATACAAACATTAAGTTGAGCGAGCATCTTTCAAATTGATCAAAATATGTTCCATATCTAATAACTGCAATATGTATAAATACATGGATTAAAGTTCAGTAATCGCTTAAATGATGTCATATTTTTGAGATTGCTGTGAATATGGCCTCCATCCAAAAATGTAAGATTGTGCGGGAATGTGATATTTTTGAGTCTCAAGACTCAAGAACTCGATAATGTTAGTGCCAGATAATTGAATTATGTCATGGTCTCGAGTATAAGACTTTACATTTACAATAACTTAAGCGTATAGCTTTATTTATAATAACCTCTTTGAAATAACCAATCACCCCTAATAGCTTTACAAGGGTATTGACATTTTTGTAAGAAGTTCGTAACTTAAATGTGTATTCTTGATCAGCACACAGTCGGTGTTTTTATAGATTCTCTGAGTGTTCAAACACATCAGATATGTTCGAAAATTGTAATCGATATATGTATCTGTAAGATAAGGGTACTTAAACCTCGCTTGACCAATGTAAACTTTTATTCTCATATTTCAATTCATTTTCTTGTGCTCTCTTATTTCGTTCTTATACACAAGTTTAGTTTGATAACACTTACATAGTAAAATAGAGATATGTATACCCTATAGTTGGTTGACCCGATTATTATATACCCTTCTGCTTACTAATTTTAAGACATAGCACCAATAGATGTTGATATTGTCAATGGTAAATATTGATTTTTTCCAAATTGTGGCAGCTTGGTATGTGGAAAATTTTGTATTATACATACCAAGTCTTGCTTTACAAATTGGAGAAAATATGGTAAATATTTGGAGTAACGACCTCTATAGCGATTTATTTAAGACCTTCAAATATTTATTTTTGTTTATTTTATCTTTGACAGACTGGGAGAGCAAATCTCGCAGTCTTCTTGTAAAGGAAAATAGAATTGCGATAAACAAGGGAGCTCCACTAACCGCTTGGTAAAGATCTCCATGAGGTTTGCTGAAATTGAGTTCTCGGATAAGTCCTCAGTTGTGCCAGTTGTGCTTTAAGCGAAATCGTTTGCAAAAATATTTGCGCAGGCCTCTTTAGTAATATTGTAATAGTCACCAGCATCGGTTGAATACTTAAAGCTACCATGTGGATTTGTAAAATTTTAATATACTCCCTGATCCTTGGACTTGTTGCGGCGCAGATCTGTTATGATGAACGTCCTAGTGGAACTCGCAGAGTAAAATTTAGGCGTTGCTGCAAGGACTACAAAAGAGTAAGAGGCCCTAGACTCAGATGCATTCCACAATGCAAAGTGAATTGTGGAAGTGGCTCCTGTACGAAACCAAATGTCTGTACCTGCCAGAAAGGATATAAAAACTTCAATAACGATCCATCTAGCCGGTAGGTAATACGATCCATGGACTTTACCAAAGCCAGTTAACTATAATTTAATCAGAACAGTTATGTATCAGTTAAAATAATTGCATCAGAAGGTTGCGTTTCCTGTGCTGTATTGCTTATTTATTCAGACCCCAGTCCAGTTGCCTGTAACTATAAATGATTTCTTTATATTCTGACAAAAAGTAGGTTATCCTAATGTGGAATAGCAAAGCTTTTGAGAAATTTCTATCGCCAGCTTTATGCATTACATTGCATTTATTTGTGTGATCAAAAACAATGCATGATAATGGCTATTTAATAAAATAAATATAATCCCATAACAGGAAGGAAATAAATGTTGATTAGGCGGTCATAAAAGGCATGGCATTGACTTTATAAAAACTCACATTTAGCGCCAACCAAATCAAATTTTTATAAAGTTTGCCGCAAAACATCGAATGGACCATTGATTTCTGAAGTTTCTTTTTTTCGTTCAGATGTGTGCCCTTCTGCGAGGGCTGCAATCGAGGAACCTGTCAAGCTCCGGGCCGCTGTGTCTGTCCCGAGCGCCACCTGATGGACGAAAAGACAAACAACTGCATGCCCCAATGTGCCAGTGGTTGTCCAAATGGAACTTGCATAACGCCGAACAATTGTAGTTGCAACCAAGGATACGGACTGAATGCAAGTACCCAGGTGTGTTTGCCAATATGCAAGGATAACTGCAGGGCAGCCAATGGCTTCTGCGCGGCGCCCAATCGCTGCGAGTGCAATTCAGGTTTCATTGCCAAGCCGAACTCCAAATCGTTTGAGTGCCAGCCGGTCTGCAAAAATGGCTGCAGCAATGGTGTTTGTCGGGCTCCCGACAAATGTGAGTGCAACAAATTCTACAGAAAGAACATCGATGGGAACTGCGTTCCAATCTGCGAAGACGGATGCGTGAACGGAAACTGCACAGCACCGGACGTCTGTCAATGTCTGCCGGGATATACGAAAATTGGGCAAAATGTTTGCTTGGCCGTTTGTCCCGCCGTCTGCAAGAATGGAGATTGCGTGGCGCCCAATGAGTGCCTCTGCAACGCTGGATACACAAAACGGGAAGGTGTCTGCACTCCGGATTGCAAGGATGAATGTGAGAACGGATTCTGTGAAGCTCCAGAAAAGTGTTCATGCAATGAGGGATATAAAATGGACAGTGAAAACAGGTGTGTACCAATCTGCTCCAGAGTATGTGAAAACGGATTCTGTGTTGCCCCAGAGAAGTGTTCCTGTAATGAAGGATACCGGATGGAAACGAACAACAGTTGTTCCCCAATCTGCTCAAGAGAATGTGAGAACGGATTTTGTGCTGCTCCAGAAGAGTGTTCCTGTAATGAGGGGTATAACATGGACAGTGAAAACAAGTGTGTACCAATCTGCTCAAGACGATGTGAGAACGGATTTTGTGCTGCTCCAGAAGAGTGTTCCTGTAATGAGGGGTATAAAATGGACAGTGAAAACAACTGTGTACCAATCTGCTCCAGAGTATGTGAAAACGGATTCTGTGTTGCCCCAGAGAAGTGTTCCTGTAATGAAGGATACCGGATGGAAACGAACAACAGTTGTTCCCCAATCTGCTCAAGAGAATGTGAGAACGGATTTTGTGCTGCTCCAGAAGAGTGTTCCTGTAATGAGGGGTATAACATGGACAGTGAAAACAAGTGTGTACCAATCTGCTCAAGACGATGTGAGAACGGATTTTGTGCTGCTCCAGAAGAGTGTTCCTGTAATGAGGGGTATAAAATGGACAGTGAAAACAACTGTGTACCAATCTGCTCCAGAGTATGTGAAAACGGATTCTGTGTTGCCCCAGAGAAGTGTTCCTGTAATGAAGGATACCGGATGGAAACGAACAACAGTTGTTCCCCAATCTGCTCAAGACAATGTGAGAACGGATTTTGTGCTGCTCCAGAAGAGTGTTCCTGTAATGAGGGGTATAAAATGGACAGTGAAAACAAGTGTGTACCAATCTGCTCAAGACGATGTGAGAACGGATTCTGTGCTGCTCCAGAAGAGTGTTCCTGTAATGAGGGGTATAAAATGGACAGTGAAAACAACTGTGTACCAATCTGCTCCAGAGTATGTGAAAACGGATTCTGTGTTGCTCCAGAAAAGTGTTCCTGTAATGAAGGATACTGGACGGAAACGAACAACAGTTGTTCCCCAATCTGCTCAAGAGAATGTGAGAACGGATTTTGTGCTGCTCCAGAAGAGTGTTCCTGTAATGAGGGGTATAAAATGGACAGTGAAAACAAGTGTGTACCAATCTGCTCAAGACGATGTGAGAACGGATTTTGTGCTGCTCCAGAAGAGTGTTCCTGTAATGAGGGGTATAAAATGGACAGTGAAAACAAGTGTGTACCAATCTGCTCAAGACGATGTGAGAACGGATTTTGTGCTGCTCCAGAAGAGTGTTCCTGTAATGAGGGGTATAAAATGGACAGTGAAAACAACTGTGTACCAATCTGCTCCAGAGTATGTGAAAACGGATTCTGTGTTGCCCCAGAGAAGTGTTCCTGTAACGAAGGATACAGGATGGAAACGAATAACAGTTGTTCACCAATCTGCTCAAGAGAATGTGAGAACGGATTTTGTGCTGCTCCAGAAGAGTGTTCCTGTAATGAGGGGTATAAAATGGACAGTGAAAACAAGTGTGTACCAATCTGCTCAAGACGATGTGAGAACGGATTTTGTGCTGCTCCAGAAGAGTGTTCCTGTAATGAGGGGTATAAAATGGACAGTGAAAACAAGTGTGTACCAATCTGCTCAAGACGATGTGAGAACGGATTTTGTGCTGCTCCAGAAGAGTGTTCCTGTAATGAGGGGTATAAAATGGACAGTGAAAACAAGTGTGTACCAATCTGCTCAAGACGATGTGAGAACGGATTCTGTGCTGCTCCAGAAGAGTGTTCCTGTAATGAGGGGTATAAAATGGACAGTGAAAACAACTGTGTACCAATCTGCTCCAGAGTATGTGAAAACGGATTCTGTGTTGCTCCAGAAAAGTGTTCCTGTAATGAAGGATACTGGACGGAAACGAACAACAGTTGTTCCCCAATCTGCTCAAGAGAATGTGAGAACGGATTTTGTGCTGCTCCAGAAGAGTGTTCCTGTAATGAGGGGTATAAAATGGACAGTGAAAACAACTGTGTACCAATCTGCTCCAGAGTATGTGAAAACGGATTCTGTGTTGCCCCAGAAAAGTGTTCCTGTAATGAAGGATACAGGATGGAAACGAAAAACCGTTGTTCCCCAATCTGCTCCAGAGGTTGTGAGAACGGATTCTGTGTTGCTCCAGAAGAGTGTTCTTGCAATGAAGGATACTACCAGGAAACTGAAAACAGTTGTACACCTATTTGTAAAGACGGGTGTGACAACGGGCTTTGCGTGTCTCCCAATGTTTGCAAGTGTGATGACGGATTTTTATACCTTGAAGAATATAAAAGCTGTCAACTTGAGAAAAATGTACTCAGCGTTGTGGATTGTGATCAGACCTGCCGAAATGGAACCTGCGTAGAAGGAATATGTACTTGTGGTGAATATTATAAACTGCTTGAGGACAATAACGGGCTGTTCTGTCTTCCGATTTGCGAGCCCGAGTGCCTCAATGGATTCTGTGAATCTCCGGGGTCTTGTGTCTGCTGGGATGGAGAGAGGCCGAAAGATGGATATTCTTGCCAATTTGCGGATTCTGTTGGGTCATTGACACGCCAGAAAAAGAATTCAAGACCCTTGATGTGGTTATATTTAACGATTGGTGGCATAATTTTGATCTTGGCCATAGTAACGGCATTGCTGATGATTTATATCTATAAAAAACGGTCGTATCACGTGGACAAGAACGGTAAACTGTAATTTAAATAGTTTTTGAATAGCTTAATGATTTTTCTTGTTTTCAGAGAGGGAATTCGGTGTATATTTTTCTCCCAAAAAGGTTGATATTATTAGAGCGTAAACTTTGATGGCATGCAAGTAATAAAATAAATAACATATGTATTCGTTTTATATTTTTTATTACTCAATTTAAACAAGTTTTCAGATGGCATACTACAATTGAACAATAATTAATTGCACTCATCTATTCTTTTTACCAAGCGCCGCCTTCGAACCATAAAGTTGCTCTGGCGTTGGTATGTCCTCAACGAAAAAGTTGGCTGGTATTAGATGGAATACCGTGGACAGTACGTCATAAAGGATGTTCTCCACCGTCTCAACGATTAGTGGTTTTAGGGCCTCATAAAAATCGCGCCAGTTTTCGTTGAAAAACTCATTGGTACTGCGCTCCACCTCCTTGCTGCGACCATTGAATAAATTGTCCAGATAAGTGCGCACTTTGGTCAGATTTAGTTGAACCCGCACTGAGGTCACGTTGTCAAAGGTGAAGCCACCCTTTTCATAGAGACGCGTTTTTGTTAGTAGCAAAATGTCAAGATCATCTGCGAGAATTTCAACGTGTAAGCTGCGCATTTGCATCCATACTCTTATTTAAATATTCAATTCAAAATTCAATTACCGATTTCGATAAAAATTTTGCCAGAGCCACTCAGTGGTATAAGGAGTATTCGTCCGGCCATTTCATACTTTCCGTCCAGTCTCATTTTCGGTAGAAATATTTTGGTCTGCCAGCCGAAGTCCTTTTTGCTGACACTGGAAATCAAAACACATTTATTTAGTTCGAACTTTATGGTCTCGAACAGCAGCAATAAGTAAATATAAATATAATTAGTCTAGCTCAGAATATGATTTTCATATTCTTAGTACCTACCGACTCTCCTTGACCTTTGTGTTGGCGAAACCCTTGACCACCAGGTCAGTCAGATTGGCTCTGATGGTGGCCACCTCGTTGTTATCCTGCTTGAAGACTATATCCCTGACTCTCATGGGATCAAAGGGACCGAACCGCTCGAGCACCTCCGGTATTCCAATGTTCAACTGATCGAGAAGCTTCTGGATGCTATTCGTAGAGCACTTGGTAAAGCCCGGTTCGTAAATCCGACAAGATGGCAGGAAGGCAGCTGGGCGACACGATTGGTTTACACTGAAAGGAACTGCGACTCTAAGGATATGTATGCACTTACGCTTTTCGGAATAGTAGGCAACAGCTGAAGCCAGTGACCTATCCATGGCGATATCATTCAGGCACAAAATGGCCATTACTGCACTCCAAGTGCCGAGCAAAGTGCGGCCGTAGCTCGTGCTGCTCATGGTGCCGTACTAGCAAGTAGTTAAGTATCTAAGTAGCTCAGGGAATAGTATCTGTATCTGAGGCTGATGCAGCGCTGCTCAGTCACTTCAAACGGTGTCACGGTTTGAAGCCGACTAGCCGGCTACTTGCTGCGATCCGGCGTTTTATTCTCAGCTGCCAAGATCCGAGATTCGAGTTCTCATATATGGTAACGACTTACAGCAACCTAACGATGCCGGGGCCAAGAGCAACTCATTTGGCTTAATATAATAACATTTTAATTCACCTATTTCCTGACATAATAGCGAATATACAGTGAGAAAAGCATCTACAAACTAGGTAATGCATTCTTATTAATAATAATACATTACAAATATTTGAAATATAAAATTGTAAGCTTGTAAAATTATTATTATACATTGTCACTAAAAACAATCAAGAATCTGTTATAAGCTCCAACACAGTTTTACTACTTATTTGATATTAAAAGATCTAGAACCCATAAAAATAGCATAACAAGTCCGCAATTATGGGTAGTGTTCCCCTCCGTAGCTTTTAATGGAAGTCTTTAATCAAATAGGTAGCTGGTACATAGGCAAAAGTCTTCTTGAAACGATCCAGGAGCACTCCGCCAACTGTTTGCTCCACAGCGGGACGCAGTACCTCATAGAATGCACGCCAGTTTTCGTTGAATAAAGTGTGGGCAGTATCTTCCAGATCCTTGTTGCCGCCAAAGAGATTTTCCAGCTGGATGCGGAATTGCTGGATCTCGCGGAAACTTACCTTTACACTTTGCACATCAGCGAAAGACCCATCTGATGTGGCTACCGGCTTGACAGCCAGTTCCAAGAATATCAGAGCATTTTCTGTATAAAACCGCTTTTTAGATATAACTCGCATAAATTGAAAGTAACATTTTACCAGATTCGAAGTATCCCTTGCCATGACCATTGAGATTCAGGGCTACCACATGTCCTTTGACTTTGTAATCGAAATTGAAACGCAGCTTGGGAACGGAGATCAAGACCTTGGCTACATAGTGATTGGGATCCCAGCTGAGAATTTTTTATGGTCAACCTTGATTTCGTCACAATATTTTAAAAGCTTACCTGGATTCCAAGACTAACGCTTGACCAGCACCTGCTACATAGACTTCCTTCAGATCTGCGTTGATAGCTATCGATCTGCTGGCATCCTGGGCAAATTTCACCCTCTTGATGTAAAGTGGATCAAAGGATCCCACGGCATTGTAGCCGGGAATTCCATCCTTCCACTGCCGGAAGAAACTCTGGAAATTTTTGGTCAGACAGACATTGAAGTTGGCATCGCCCACGACACAAGAAGTTAGGAAGTCGGCTGAAAGTAATACATTTAAGAATATTATTAACTTGTACTTTTTCAATAAATTATTCGAAGAACGCTCATTACGTTGCTCTGCCAGATATCTTGCTCCTTCAACAGCTGAAAGGAGTACGGATAAAATGATCAGGAACTTGGCTACTTCTATAATCATCCTGATGATTTAATTCCAAAATGTGACGACTACAACCGTTTTCTTTGAATGCTCTGATTGAAATGACGATTCTGTCTGGTCTCCGGTAATTTTATTCGAAATGGAACGCTTGAATGTATAACTTTTAAAATCATTTCTTTATTTTGCCGTTTTATATACATTTAGTTTATTAATTCCTACTCTGTTTTCGGTACAATTAGTAAGTAAACGAGTTTGTCCGCATTAGACTTGTTGTGGTCGTACAGGGTGCCTAAATCATTCGAGTCATCTGATGCGGTACCCTAGCCCGAAATGCATTAATTTCGACAAAATTACTTAGCCTTTGCCTCGGCGACGACTACACTTCCAGTTGTAAGAGCCAGCAGTTCCATACTTCTGCCATAATATATATATCTAGATACTTAGCCATATATTCTAGGCGGTAATTATCTCACTTTCGCTAAAGGCGAACTGGTTCTACAAGACCATTAAAAAGCGATGGCTTAGTATGACGATGGTAATACTGTCGGACTTATGTGGATTTGTGGATCTCTCTGAAGAAAATATATTTCTATAAATTATAGACGAAATTCTAGTAAGCTACCTTTGCATAGATGCATACTCAAGTGAGGAAAAGAAGCCAGCCGAATGTATTTAACTGCATGCAACCATGACCAAGGTCCGCGGTTCTTGGGTTAACGAACTTGTGGCTTTGTATCTACACAGAAAATAACGAGTTATGAATTATGTATCATGAGAATTTGGTAATTTTATATGCATGCATTTTTTATTATTTGCCACAGTGAGAGCTGGAAATCTGTCGATCTAAAAGGGGGACAGACAACATTTATTTCATGCATTGCTTTCTGATTGGGTACTTGCCCTATTTTGGACAGTGTAGAATGTGATTTTAACTGGATGAACGAAAATTATCCGAAAGGTTGAAATAACGTCAATATTATAATGTAGGTTGACTGCGTTTGTTTTGAATGTTGTTTGGCGACTTTGACTATTTCTTTAATATTAATTGGATTAATTTGTGAAATAAGAAGAAAACAGCGTATAAACTGATTTGAATTCTAGAAATCTACAAATGTCTAGCCAAATCATCGAATATTTCTTATTCGCTACTATGACGTAAACACAGCAACCAGTTTTCTTAGCCAAGGCATTGACTAGGTCAGTATACCAGCATATTAGTTTTTGAATTGCTTTCTTTTCCGTGCCCCAAGTGTGAGTTTTGACGGACTGGGAGTAATGGCTAAATCCGCTGTCAAATTGCTTGTTGTGGTTGCAGATTGCTATTGGCTAGTGCACTTCACTGGGAGCAAGGTGTTTGGCCAGGTATTTGCAATCGATTAGCAGCTCAGGGGGAATTGACTTGCATAATTGGAATGCTTAGCAAGTGCAACACTTCCGCACCTCTCAGTACTGGCATTTTATTCCTTTCTGGATTGTGGTTCTCAGAGATGGCAAAGGTACTTATTATTTGTAACTTGTATATTTGCTTGCTTTTACAAATCGATCAGACTTTTATTTATGTTTTTTCGACTCTCGAATACTATCTAAAACTTTGATGTACCCATATGTAGTGAGCTTTGAAACAAGTATCCAGTGCACCTAGTTCTCATCACTGTTGCTGCTCTGATCTGATCTCATTGCGTATGCGTGAGTGTTGCGGCCTGGAAGCATAAATTGCTGGCCAAGAATTCGAGTAGACGACGCTAACAACCTGATTGGAAATTGCTGCGCGTCGGTCTGCTGGTAAGTGAATTACCTGTAGAGGTGAGTGAGTGGGTATACCCACTCAAGTACTCACGTCCAGCTGGCTGCCGATCGCTTTCGATTTCTATGCTGCATTCCAAGCCAAGTCGAATCGAATCGAATCGAATCGGATCGGTTCTCGGCTCGGATCGGGAGCTCGGGTCTCAGTTAACGTATTCGTTTTCGGTTTCTGGTCGCAGCTGATCGCCAGATCCAGAGACTTCGGCTTGAAGCTTTGGTTTCTGCCATGGTTTTTTCCCCTCTTGGCCCGCCTTGGCAAAATGTTGGCTGCGGTATAAAAAGCGTTGCACGCCCTGTTTTTCTTTTGAGTTTGTCGTTTCGATTCGCAGAGTCTCGAGTGCAAGTGCAGAGCATATTTTCCATTTTCGCAGTGCATTACTAATTTGGGAGATTGGTGAAAACGGTTCGACATTGACTGTTGGTTCTAAGCTTGGCAATATGTTGGAATTGGTAAGAGGCTGCCAGTTGGTTTAAAGTGTTACATCCCATATCTATACTCCACATCAATATCGGTATGCAAAAAGTGTTTTCAGAATTTGCGCAGTGAATTTTTAGAATGCAATTCAGCCAACCGGTTTGATCAGATCAGTGTCTATGATAAAAAGTAACTAATTGCTGGCTTATTACTCAGCCATGTCCTTGAGTGAAGCTTTGTGCACTGATAATCAGAGCAGCTAATTAAGGTATTTAGCCCAAAGTGAGGCAATAAAGGCAAAGCTCATGTGTAATTGCTGTGTTTACAGATGGGTGTGACCGAAATAGTGATTTAATGATGCAAATGATTTCACTGTTCACCTCTTTGCTTTTCGTTTTGCAGACCTTGAGTTTGGGGCTTCTGCTTCTGGCGGCCCACAGTGCGTATGCGCAACATCAGGACTACACCACACCGGTGCCCATTCTCAAGCAGATCGACAAGCACAACGACGACGGATCCTACACATATGGATACGAAGCGGCCGATAAGAGCTTCAAGATCGAGACCAAATACGCGAATGGGGAGGTCTACGGAAAGTACGGCTATGTGGATGACCAGGGCAAAGTGCGGGAAATAGAGTATGGAGCCAGTAAGCGTGGCTTTGAGCCCGCTGGCAGCCACATCAATGTGCCACCACCCACGCTGACCAACAGTAATCCCTACCCCTTGGCACCCAACGAACTGGACGATGGCCAGTACCGCGAGGACCCCGCGGTGTACTACAAGGACCAGAAGTTCAATCGCCCCCAGTCACCGGCCAGTAAATTCAGTCTAAACGATTTTGGACGCGGCCAGCAGCAGGCCTACGCCCCGCCCCCTCAGCAGCCCGCCCCCCAAACGCCCTACTACAACCCAACGCCCCAGTACTACAATCCCCCGGCTCCGCAGCCCCGTTACTACCAGCCCCCGGCCCAGAACTACTATAATCCCCAACAGCAACAGCCATACAGGGGGTTGCCGGAGCAGCATCATCCCTCCCTGCGAAACCTCAACCTTTACACCGGTTCCTATAGCATCGACTATACGGGCCGGAAGTAAGAAGGAGCAGCTTTGGATGGGGGATCACCTTTGAGTTGGGCCAGAGAGTCAGGGACTGAAGTGTCCGAGGACAATGTCAACTTGTTACTGCCAAATAAATCAGTCACTCCGCACACCCCACATATATCTATTACTGTACCTGTTTATATATGTTCTTGAATGTGTGTAATAAATCGAGTTTCGAGACCTGAAGCGTTTACAGAGAAAACAAAAGTGTTCTGAAATCATAAAACGCAAATGGCATTTGGTGTTTAAGAGCGCTTATAAAGTGGCAAACTTGTATAATGAGAATGCAATTTATTTGCGTCAGCTTTTTCGCTGCTATTTCCTGCTCAGTAATTGTTCTCAGTGCCGAGGAGAATTCGAAATATCTGCTTTGGCATTCAATTTAGCCAACTACCAGGTTCCGCTTCAATTAAGCCGCCCCATAGCAGAAATCGCAGCAAAATCCAGCCGATTGAAATAAAGGCAAAGAGCCCAGCAAGTGGCCAATAATCGTTAGGCCATTACGTCAACACAGAATGATCGAGTTAAAACAAAAAAGGCGAGCATTGTGGCCGACTCAGATAGAAACCCAAAGTAGATTTGCTGTTGACTGGAATTCGGTGCACTTATGCAATGTGCTGGCCCCAAACCACTTTCAAATGCACTGCCACCAACGTTCGACCAGTTGGCCATAAGCTGTTGGCTATAAGCATGGTCTATGTACTTTGTGCTGGGTGGTGGAACCACTGCCTTTGTCTTTTGGGTGTGTGGACTGCAGGTACTGGAAGCAGTGCTTTGAGCCATGTTCGATAATTGGAAGTCACCCTCGGATCAATAGGCAAACACAGAGCTTAAATCAGCGTGGTGCTTATCTCTTCGTTAGCTTAAATGAGCTATTAATTAGGTAATTTAATTAAATTTTTCGAAGGTTTTTCACTTTGTTAAAACCGATGATTACCAATTTTTAAGAAATACATGGCAGCTAAACCTCAAAATAGGTAATGGAAAACTTGTTCATTACTGATCTATTGAGCTGAAACTAACAGCTATTCCCTGCTTATTCCATGCTATTTATAGTTTGTCATATACATTGTGTTGTGTGAGTTATTCAAATTCCCTTCCACTGTGCCAGTTGGCCAAGTCAAAAATTTATAGCGTTTTGCTGGCGGCACAAACGGAGAATCAAGTCCAGACTGCACCTCTTAAAAGCAGTGCACAAACACACATTGCAGGCTTGGAATTATTTGTATATTTTCAGCATTTATATAATTCCGCAGAGCAAAATAGCGAAACTGGTCTGCCGCTGCTGGGGCGTTGGCATGACTCAAGAATTTCCTGCAAAACTGTCTGCTTTGCTTTGGGTGACTTGCGAACAGCTGCTGCACTTACTACACTTTTTGCAGCAGCGTTTTCTGAGGTGGCATAAAGCCGTAGGTATGGGCTTGTTATGGTTCCTATTCAGAAATGCGTGGGCGTAAGTCGAGTCCTGCATTGAAAATCTATTCCTTTTGCATTCACACTGCATTCAATTGTATTGAATAGTTCCCAATCAGTGGGAAATGCACATTTGTAAGATGGAAATAAAAGCAAGAAATGCCAAGATTCTTTAAAGCGCACATAAAGCAGATGCCTAAACTTCCATTGTGAACCATTTTTAACATTACATACTGTTTCTTCAAAGTCCTAGTACCGATTTTTAAAACATTGCCCAAAGCTTATTGTTATATTCCGATTTTTTAGCGAACTCTTTCGACCTTGATCGTGGCAGTGCGTCTACGCAAGATCAGGTGCACGCCCATTTGCCCCCGGACCGCTGCCCACGAACAAAAGCCGGACAGAAACTAGTCTTTAACGTGATATATTCAGCAATAAAACATAAAAAATAAAAGAAAAAGGCGACTGACAAGCGAAATAACAATCGCACGCACTTGAAGACTGGAAATCGCCCTGCGTCATGGGCGGCACTTGAAGGAGGTCTTAGCACACAGAAGGGGCACAACCGGGGGGCAGACAATCGTTGACGGTTTCCTGATCTGTGGCTATGTGGTGCAGTGGCCGACCAGTTTTCAGCCGAACTATCGCCATTCCGCAGCGGGCTGCATTGCGGACTGGTTCCCGTGGCTGTGCAGCAATAACGGACTGCTACTCGTGGTGTGTCATTAATTCCAACAGAATGACTCCCGCAAGGCCATTTCGAGTGGCTGCGGAAAGGTGCTGGCCAAGGAGTGGAGTGCAGCTAACACTCTTGAAAGTGACACGCTGCTTGGATCTGGTTGTGACTCCCACATGGTATGATATGCTTTGACGTCAAGCATACGCACTGTTGAACCGCAGAGAACAACATGGAAACGAATTCTTAAGATAGTTCTTCGCTGACTGGTTTGTGAACTTTGATACACTTTCGGGCTGGCATTAAGATTTATCATGTTTGAACATAAGCTTAAATATAATTTTATACAATTTGTAGGCACACCAGTTTTAAAGGGCTTACGGCCTACCAACTTTGCTTCATTTCCTCCAATTTGTGGGCCTCGCAGATTTGATTAATTATCGTGGATGGCCACATCTCAATGGCGGTAGTTGCCATAGAGCACGGAAGGTCGGAGTTAGAGGTAAGACTACTGCCACCCTGATTTCGAAAGCAATTTGTTAAATTTATTAAATTGTTTTGTGGAACTTGGCGAATACAAGTGGGTGACCTAATTCGTTGAACTGTGGGGTCAGAAAATATCTTGAAATCGGCAAAGCAGTGAAATGGAATTTTTTGCAGCCGTTGGATGACTTCTTCTAATTTAATCTTGGCATTTTAGCCTTTAATTATAATTTTAGATAGGCAATGCATATGAAATGAAATATGGTCATTCTTGGCCATTCCCGTGGTAATGGCGAGGAAAAGCTCTGCAAAGCACTGAGAGAACTCCCGCGAATCGCTGTCTCAAGCTCGATCAAGCTCTGCAGCCTCTCTTTCTCTCTATGTATCTCGATATCTTTTTCTCCAGAGAAACGTATCCACCAGCGACCGCTCTCCGTCCTTTCGTTGGTGAAGTGTTGTGGCGCTGCGGCCGTTGGTGTGGCTCGGTGGTGCAGTGGTGCGGGATGTGGGGTCTTTGGTCCGTTATGGGAGAGGGAAAAGGTTTTCCGCGATCGGTATATAAAGCGAAATACAACAACCTGGGCGGCTCAGTTGCCGTCGGTCACAAGTTAACACTCCACGCGATCTCCACCGAAGTCGGTCCGAGGAATTGGCCGATTTGTCCGAGATAGTCGCCCGGTTCATTAGGGGATTTGGATTTGGAATTGAAATTGAAAGTGCTTTGTTGTCTTCGCCACTCGATATTCAGCTGGGTGTTGCCAGCGAAGGCCTTTTGCGATTGCATTCAGGGTTTAATCAATTCGAAATAGCTGGCCCCACAATACAACAGCCAATCAGCGGATACAATTCAACAGTTCAACATGAAAGTGGTATGTGAGTGGGCGGATATAAACTCGTACTTATGTCGGTGGGTGGTAAATATCAAAGGTCGTTCGACAGAATCACTGGATGCGTGGCCGCAAAACCTGAGGGGGTGTATCCGAGTCTGGGACCACCAGACACACAAATGGGGAGGTACTGATCTGTAAACTTACGTCATCGCCATTGCGGCGACTGTTGTGCAAATATCGCATAATTTGCTATGCAAATCGAGCGAACCGTTAATTTGCTCCCAGCCCCAATCGCAATTGTTCAGCTTGGCTACAAGCGACATTTTGCCAGGTCTTTGTGCCCAATCCACTCCACTTGGCACCCAATTTGGTAACTGGCTTTTGACATAATTTATGAACGACGCAGCTTCTTGAGAAAAAAATGGCAGGAACTTCAATCAGCACAAGTTGCACTAACAAGCTAGCCGCTGCCACATAGTTTTCCCCCCTTCGGTCCAGCGTGAAAATATCAAAGGCAAACTTTGGCTCAGTTCACACGCGGCAGTCAGCTTTTTGGTCAGTTTCTGTTCGGTTTTCGGCGCACTGGTCCCCCGAGCATGTCGTGGCCTGGATGTATCTCTATCCGTACCTGTATCTGTATCTGTATCGGTGCCTGTATCTAACTACCTGTCCGTCCACCTGTCCGTCCGCGCCAAGGCTGCGGCACATGGAGCCTAGCTAGTGAAAGGTTTTGGCATGCGGAATGGTTGGAAAAACAAACCAAAGTTCAAAATGCCAAAAAAGAGTAAAAGCCAAAAAAGCGGACATTCTGAGCATCAGAGCTTGTTAGGCTGAATACTGACCCATGAAGCCATAAAACCAGGGGGAACCTCTTCATAAAACCTCAATTCCAATGGAATTGGATTGATTGAAATATTTGATTGCAATTATTGTGATTTATGCCAAAATATCCCACGAATTGCATGCATACTCGTAAAAAACATGGACAGTCACAGGGCTGTCTTTCAGTTATTCAGTAATTTCGCGCAAATTTCTTTGGCATTTGCTGCCGCAGTTGCATACTTGCAACACATTTCGGCAAGTGTGGGAACTTTTCCCAGTTTCCCATGCATAATTTGCGTGCCTGCCTCTTTCGGGTTTTCTTCTCTCTGATTTTGCTGCCGGATTACCCAATTGCAGCTGCGATATGTTCGCCGTGTGGGAGTCACATGGCTGGGCAACGATAATTGGCATTCCCCTGCTTCTTTGGCGTCTTTCTTCCCGGTAGCATTTCTCCACGCCACTGGTGGCCATTCAATTAATCCCATCCAGCCTATCCAGCTGAGCGGCCATATCGCGTGTCGTTGGGATTGGGATTGGGCTCGGCTTTTATGCAACTGCACTGCGGAAATATCGCAGGAAAGGCTTGAAATGGCTTCAGAAAGAATCTTCTTCACTAAATATCTAAAATACCTACAATATTTTAGGTTACATTTCTTAGTTACTTAGTTGATTTTGTTTTTATTTTTTTGGTACGGAAAGTTGAGTTATTTCTTTGAGTGCTGGTAACTAAATCCGGGGTATTGGTTCCTGCTTGGCATTGAGGGTGTCATTGGCCGGCGGAAAAGTGAAAGGCAGCCTGACATGAGACTTTTGTAGACATCGCCGTCTGACATTCTGGGCAGCACTCAGACTCCGATGCACTGTCAAGGTGCTTCGACGGCCAGGGGCGAGGAGGAAACTGAACTCTTCTGGCAGACAGGGTGCAATCAACTAACCGGTTGTGATTTGACTAGACAGACTTATACCCATTTATATCCTATCACCGCAGAATTAATTGGCTTGTCTTGCAGATGCAACGCGTGCTCTTTGTCGGCTGCCTCATAGTAGGTGCAGGTATGGTGAGGTCACAGGACTACCAGGACTACCAGGAGAACACACCAAGGGCTGCTCCTATTCGGCTGAGGGCTAATGCCGCTCCTGCTCGCGCTGAAGCGCCACGTGCCGATCCAGTGGCAATCCTCAAGCAGATCAACAAGTAACAATCCCAATATTCAATTACACTAACTACACAATTCGATATCATACATAATACAAATAATATTCCCCGGCAGGCACAATGAAGATGGCTCCTACACTTATGGCTACGAGGGAGCCGATGGATCCTTCAAAATCGAGACCAAGTTGGCCACTGGCGAGGTGAAGGGCAAGTACGGCTATGTGGACGAGACCGGAAAAGTTCGAGTGGTGGAGTACGGAGCCAACAAGTATGGCTTCCAGCCATCTGGAGAAGGCATCACAGTGGCACCACCCACACTGGTGGATGAAACCCTCAAGGAGGAACCAGATTACGCAGATGAGCCGGCACCACAGCGGCCTCAGAAACCCTATGTAAGTTGCAAGGCGCACTGAATCAAACAATTAATTTGGTAAAACATATAATTTTTTAGCGTGTTCAGCGACCCCAGCCACGCCCACAGCCCCGCCCACAACCTCAGCCGCAGTATGTGCAATACGAGGAGGAGGAGGAGCCACCGCGTCGGGTTCAGTATGCCCCCGCTCCTCAACCACAGCCACAGCCTCAACCGCTGCCGCAACCACAACATCTGCCACAACAGCACCACCAGCCGTCGGTGGGTCCGGCACCGCCAAGACTCCAGGTTCCCGGCGCTCAGCGCACCACCGACGTGCTCTACTCACCACTGCAGCGACCTGCTCGCCCTGAACCGGATTACTCGCAATCGCAGAGCTTCGGCGATGGTCCCTCCAACGTGCGGATTTCCCGGCCCGTTTACGCCCTGCCCCCCGCCTCACCAGCTCCGAGCAGTGCCCGGGCCCAGGGATTCCTGGCTCCCGCCTCCGGGGGACGTCCGCTGCTGGAGCCAGTGGGTTTCGGCCAGTCTCAGGGACCCAGCGCTCGTCCTGTGCAACAGCAGCCGAGCTTCCAGCCGCAGCCGCGGCCACAGGCTCGTAGTGGTGGAGGAGGTGGCTCGGGATTGCTGGATCAGTTAGCCCGGGACTACGCCCTGCCCCAGGGAAATGCCCAGCCGCTGCACGACATCACCTTCGGCTACTACTGAGCTGGAATTTAGCAGGCGGTTGCAGTGCCCATCTTCCTGAATAACCCACAGATTCCTTGCTTCTAGGTCCTAATCGCACAGGTGTGCCCTGTCCTCAGATTTTCTAAGCGATAATAAAAATTCCCTAAAATAAATTTAACTGTTTTTGAGGAGACTTTACTGCGTTAGTTGAATAGCTAAGTGCTATAAGTCATAGCCGTCTTTCCGGCTTGGAACACCACATTTTTGCAGGGATATAATAAAACAGAAATATTTTTCCTAATCTGATTATTAATAACAGATTGATACATTCTGCGATATATTTTAATTACGTGGTACTAAAGTAATGTATTTAAAATAATATATTTATAAATGTAGTGCTGAGTGTGTATGAAATGACCACGCTTTTACATAAATTTTACGTGGTGTTGTTCGGATTTTGAAGCATACTGTTAGGCTAAAAGTAAATTTGTGAATTTCCCGAGCCGACAATAAAAGACTCGGTGTTTAATCAACGATTTATTTAATTTAAATACTTAAAGGTAAGATGGGGAAGTTCAATTAATGCCAACTGAAGTTTCTGACAGGCCCTTAACGAGGTTCTTCAAATCGAAAGTGTGTTTAGAATGGGGGAGAGTGACAGCAGATAGATTCGAAATAGACAGGAACGGTTTGACTAACTCTAGGATACGTGGAGATGGACTGGGCGCGGTCCACAGCTTCCTCATCGTCCTCTACTGATGGTAGACTGCAAAGAGATCGGTGAGAGGTGAGAAAAGGGTTCCCGATTCAATGTGTGGTGGTGCAGCAGCGCAGGAAAGTGGGTGTGCGAGAAGAGAGGGGTGGGTGGGTGATTGGTGGTGCTGGGGATCTTTTGGAGCATGCTGTGCTTAGGCATTCGGATGCAAATTCAATGGCGCGCTTTATTGCCAACCATCGCTGGGAAGCTCAATAAATAATTAATTAGATTACGATTGCGATTGCGTTTGCGATAACGAGAACATAAATAATTTATAGGTAAATGCTGCACATGACTTAGAGGACTATAAGCTAAGAACCGGGGCCATCCCATTAGATCTCCAGCACGCGGTTGAACATCAGTGGATCCTGTATCTCGTAGTCCTGCGGCCGGAAGACGCGCTTCGTGTGCTTGCCGCCCGCCACCTGGCGGCGCACCTTGTAGCCACCGCTGTGTCCTTGGTGGTGCGGTGGTGCACTGTACACGTACTTGGACTTCTGCACCACTGGCGGCAGGTACTGGAAGTGGGGCGACTGCTTGTGCACCTGCTTCTCAATGGAGTAGACTGGCCCGCTGCCGTGGCTGTTTCCCTTCCGTTTGGCCACCTCCAAGGCGGCTATAATGGGCGACAGATCCTTGAGGGCATTAGTCTTGGTGGCGTGGTAGTTCTCCACCCGGTAATCCGCAGCAGCCTGCGGTGGCGGGGCCGCAGCTGCGGGTGGCGAGTAGTCGTAACCCTCGTTGGGATGCTTCTGGATGTAGAGCTCCTCGGCGGACGGGCGCTTGGCCATCTGGTGGTACACATCCGCCGGATTCTTTGAGGCCGGATTATAGGCAGCTGTTATGGACTCTGTGTGCGATAGGGACTCCAAGGTGCCTAGGTTACTGGGCAGCGGTATGCCATAGCTGTTATAAACCTCAGCCTGTTCCAAGCCCGTGCCCGTTGGCAAACCTGTATCCAAAGCCACTGTCTTGGAGGCTGTGTACTCAGTTTTCCCGTTGGGCAGCAAGCTGAGGATCTCCTGGAGCTGCGCCGCCGCCTTTCGGGCTTCCTCATCCGACAGCTTGGAGTGGCCATAGATGTTAAAGTCATTGCTATTTGCGCTGATCGCTGCCGTTTTGTGGTTGTCGTTTTGAGTGGCGTATGTGGTGGGTGTATGTGGTTGTTTGTTGTGGTGGTGGTGTTGTTGTTGTCGAGGTGTGTATGCAATGAGATTTCATTAGATTGACTAAATTAAATATTTGCGTTTTTATGTTTGGGTATTTACACTTGGCTTGGTCTGTTTATGTAAGAGTCGGTGGGTGTATTTCAAAAGTATGAAAACTGTTCATCATCTTGCTTTTGTAAATGGAAAAACAAATTTAGCAATTAACAAATTAGCTGATTATATTCTGACTCTAAATGATTATGCTACTAATTCTGCAAGACGCGAAGAGGTTCGTTACTTTTAAAGAAATTTAATTTTTTCTGTTAACTGTTCTTGTTGTGTTAGATGAGTTTAGATCTTTATACAAAATGATTGGTTTACTTTACACATTTTGTACATTTCTGGGCAGCTTGAAGTTGTTTTGCAGGATGATCGTAGATGAATTCCGGTTTTAGTTTTGGTTAGCTGATGAGGATAGTCGATAATCCGCGTTTCATTGAAGGTTTCGCTAGACTCTTTAATGGGCCATTGGCTAAATACGTATGCGCAACTTTATCAAGTATGCGACATGTGGCCACTGCAAATGGCCCCATTAATATCTGTACAACTCGCTTAAGTACTATTGGTGGTTAACGGACTAATGTAAGATATGACAAATTATTGAAACATGTTCGCATGTCTTTATATACAATGAATCGACTTATGTGCGCTTGCGCAATGTGTTAAAAAATCAAATAAACTTAGCCTAGGAAATGTGTCATTGGAACAAGTTCCAGCCTGACCATACATCAGAGGCGCACAAGGAGAGATTTCGACTGGCAGTGTTAATATCTACAGTATTTACAATGTATCTCGGTTTCTGCCTCGTCTTCACGAGCTATGTGCAACTGATGATGGTGCTTTCACTTTCTTCTCGTTGTTTGCTGTGTGCGGAAATGAGATGGGATTTGGGGGCGGGGCGGCTGAGTATGCAAATAAAGCTGGGTGATTTGCGATTGCAAGCCAACGCCTGTCATTGTCATCTTTGGGATACACTTCTAGAAATTCAGCAATTACTTTGACTATGTTCGTCAAAAGCCTTATGCCTTCCATATAAAGATAACTTAAGTTGGAGAAAATATGTACAAACTTAATATTTTTGAATAATCGTATTTACAAGCAGTATAGTACAAGTTGATCCATAGATAGAATATTATTCCTATGGATAATCAGATTGAAAACCAGCACCAAATTCTGTTAGCAAAGCAGAGTATGTACAGTGGAGATTGTTTAGAACAGACCCGGAGGGTTCTGTTACTCCAGACCCGTTACTACGCACCATCTTGTCCATAGGCCGATGGCAGGTAATTGCTTGGCGGCGACTCGAAGGCCGCCGGGTGGCTCACGCTGAAGGGCGCCCCGCCGCTGTAGCTGGCCCCGCCCACCGGCGGGAGGTACTGGTGGGTGGCGCTGCTGTAGGAGGGGGGCTTCGATGGCGGACCGTAGCTGGCGTGGCCGGTGGGTATCTCGTACGTGGTGATGGCTGCAACGAGACAAATGCGGAGACATTTAGTGGGGTAAAGTGGAACGCAGACGCAGATGGCGGCGGAACGGGTTGCTGGCGAAAACGAAAGTTGCCGGCCTGGCCAGGTTCATTGCACGCTCCATGCTCTGATTTGGCCATTGGATCTGCTGCCAAATCGGAGCTGGGAGTTGCCTCTTCCGTTTTGGCCAGGTGCGGCTGTGCTGGTTATTAGGCGGCTTAATTGTCATGCATCTAGTTCAGCAGCCGGGTTACGTAAGCGAAAGACAATATGTTTTGATTTCATGGTCCAATGGACAGTGGCATATGCATTGGAATAAATAGTAAAGTATCGCGACCTAGTCCAATTTCTTTGTATACGAGTGCCTGCTGCACAACAAGGGAGTTGCTTTATATTTGCTATAAGTCCCTATTATCGAGTGTGCAAACTTGTAGTTCTTGGTAACTTATGTGTTCTCTGAGTGTACTTACTCTCGTGATGCACGACGGGTCCAGGAGCGGAGACGGTCTTGTGGACACTGCTGCCGCCGGAGGAGCCGCCCGACAAGGCGGTCAGCTTGGCGAACAGACCGCCGCCGGAGGAGGAGTGACTAGTGGCGTAGGTGTGCGAGTTGATGTGCGCCGAGTTGATGATGGACTTGCCCACGTCGGTGACCTTGTCTCCGCCGGCGGCCACCAGGTTGCCGCCCGCACTCAGCGCGTATCCGCTGCCCTTGATCAGCTGACCCTTGAGTGCGGTGACCCCGCCGGTGATGGCCTTGACCGCCTGGAAGATGGTGTTCAGCACGGACTTCTTGAACGACCAGGGGTCGTAGTCCACCGAGTTGCCCTGGAAATGTGGAATGCATTAATTACATATATTTGATTTCGATTTAAAATGGCTGAGCAAATGGCCAACCGCATAGAGGATTCGAGAAATGTCGCTGTCAACTTACATGGACCACAATCTCGTGGGACTTGTAGCTGTCCCCGCCACCGCTGCTTCCGCCGGAACTGCCAGAGGCGATTGAGGCGGAGGCCTGGCCAATGCCGGACAGCAGGCCGGACTTCAGGTGCGCCACATAGTCGAAGCTGCCGGACCGCTTTTGCACCTGCGACTCCTTCACACTCTCGCCCGGCTCATTGTCCAGATCTGTGTCTTCCAGGGAAAGGGACTTATCGCTAGCTGGGAGGGCGTGGCACATCAGAGGCAGGGCGGCCACCAGCAGAAGACTTAGGCTGAAGACCTATATGTGGTAAAATAAATTAGTTAATTTGCCAAACATGAAGTGCCCAAAGTAGAGCACCCAATTTGTAAGCCGGGAGTACGTTTTGCAATACCTTTGGAAATCTATTCAAATTTTACATGACAGCTCCAACAAAAGCTGTAGACGACAAGGAAATTCAATTGCCGAAATGTGTCTCTGCAGCGGTTGCACCACCATCGCTTTTTTGTTGCTGGTTTTGTCCGCTTGCCACATCTGTGCACTCATTTGTCAACTGGCACACACACACGCACACACCATGTGCAATCATAATCTGCCACTTACCGCCAATATACAAATTTAAGTCATAATCCTCGATCTGAGTATGCGAACCCACTAAAAGCAGACCCCTCATCCTTACCCCCATATTACTCGGTTTACAGTTGAGCGGGCTGGGCTTATAGGCGGGGGTGGATGGGCGGTAATGGTCATAACCAATTTGGCCAAGAGCGAAGCTATGACGATGCTTTGACTTGCGGCATTCGCTGCCGTTTCATGCTCCATCAACCTGCCAATATGCTAATTGCTATTGAGGCGAATGCTCCGAGGAATCTACTTAATCTTTATCATTAATATTTATCGTTATCGCAATCGTGCGGAATTACTAATTCATTAATTCCTTAGTTTTTTGATCAAAACGTTATACTTTTTAAATTATATGCCTGAACTAGAGTTATATTTATAATTGTAGGCAGTGAATGAAAACGTTTAAGTGATTAAGAAAAAAGTGGTTTAGGAAAATGGGAATTAAATAACTACATAATTGACTTTCCAAAACGTTGATAAAATCTTGATGCGGTTTTAAACCTCATCAAATATACTCGTATGTATATCTTTTTTTTCCTCCGCGTTTTTGCTAAGTGCTATAAATGTTCGTGAGTGGTAATCATTTCCTTTCAGTAAATTGCTTTACGAAATTGTAGGAAACATTTGTTGATATTACGTTGGCCTTATTTTTGGTCATTGATTTGTGTAATCCACTTATAAACTTTGTGAAATATTATCTTGAAATTGAACCAGATTTCGGTCAGCGTATCGATTATTGATATTTTTGACAAATGCGTTTTAAATTAGTTTTTTATTTGGGTTAAAGTGGAACCGCCTCGAAAAATATTAATCGAATTGGCAGCCTTTCTCCTCGCGATGGCGCAACCGCCATTATGACTGGCCAAATATGTTGTGATATCTTATACAATGCATTAATTGCCCTAGCCATGGCCCAAACAATTGGCCAATTGCAATCTGCATACAAATGCACTGATTAATCAAAATAAATATTGTTCTTCGTTTTGGGATTGCATAAGCAGAAACATAATAAAACAGTGGCAGAAAATAATTGAAAGTTAATTGCTGGATACAATTATTATTAATGGTTCAGCTGAGTAATTAACGATGTGCAATTTGTGTGCAAAATTCGTTTGAATCCATTGGCATATTGAACTATTGGCCAATATTGGCCAAAATCCATTTTACCATCCTAGCCTCTTCTCTTTGATGGGTTTTTTTAGTTGGCCGACACTGTTTGTTGTTTTCTTTTTCTGTTTGCTCATTGTTATGGCCAATATTTTGTCTGGCCAGAGAGTGAAAGTGTTGTATTTGCCGGCTTTGTGGCCGAAAAACATTCGCTCTCTTATTCCGTGTTCACAAATAATTAGCATAATATTATTGCTTAATGGTCGATGAGCAGAATGCCTACACTATATATTTATATCTAACTACCTCAACTTTGACTGGTAACTTAATTGCGGTAGGTTCGGTTTACGAACTCGTTTATTGTCGCTACGTGTGCCTCGCCTCACCTGGTTCGTCTTCGTTTTCCGTTTGGCATAGCATCACCTGGCCATATTCAAATTTCTTAACGTTTTCGAAAGCAACCCGCTGACGGGTAGAAGCCAACGGGTCTGACATAATAATTATGCACGACATTTACCTTCGCACTCGGTCAAATGGTCATCGCTTCTTGCGAGTCATGACATAAGGTTCCGAGCGAATGAAGGTCTACATCAAAAAGCTCAATCTGCCCAGCTCTGGGAGTGCACTGAAGCATCGATTGGGATTTTTGGGTTATCCATTTGTTGCGTAATGAAAGCATCTCTATTAGTCACTTATGCGAGACCGCGGGATAGACATCACGCAGCTCTGAGGCTTAGCTAATAGCGTCAGCGATGTGTGGCCAACATGAAACGGGTTTCGGTGCAGAATGCCTTGCACTTGAACTTGTTTGCCAAAGAAATTGCATAAACTAGATATGAGCAGGTATGCAGGGGAGGGGGAGGAGAAGTATTGCCAAGATTAGACCGCTCAATTAGTCCAGTATTCGGATCAACTTTCACTTGCTCTATCCTGTGACTTACCTTCATTTCGTGCTCCTGCGTTTTTCGTGGATTTAGCTCAAATTGGGCCTTCGATTAGCTGGGCGGCTAATTGAGATCAAAATTCACTTTTACCGATGACGTCCTCGTTGTATTTTATTTTTAAACTATGTTTAAGCGCTGTCTCCTCCTCACATCAACTTTCTTCACTTGGCCACTTGCAATTGGCACTTTTGGCCGCCGCACTTTTTTACTTCGATTTCGAACCGTTTCGCTTCACGTTTGTTTTGTCATCGGCATTCGTCTCAGCGGTTTGCAGCGCACACAAAATTTCACTCTCCACTTTCTTTCACCGATTCGAGTCTCCCGATCTGGGGATTGTAGCTGCGGCTATATCTCGGCAACGTCTGAGCTCGAACTGTGCTCGAAAATCGCGTTGTGCGGCTTATTTAAAGAAATCACCGGAGAGACGCCAATGAAGTGCATTTTGAGCGGTTTTGGGGGTCTTCTCGAACGCTCTTAGTCGAGGGGTTAAGAGTGTTGCCCTCTCTTTCCTGCTCTTTTTGTGTTACAATTTATTTTATATTTTTTCGGCAGCATTGCCGACATTTTCTTGACAGCCTCTTGGCCACAAACGAGTGTCTGGGGTTCAATGCGTTTCGAGTGGCATCGGCATCGGTGTTATCCACATGTGGCAATCCGAAAACTGCAATGCGGCTCATTAAGTTCGGTGGCATAAACGTGTTCGACTGCTCAAAAAACATCACTGTTGGCTTTGTTTTCTGACATGGCCCAATCGAAAGACTGAGGCAACGAACTTGAAATGGTGTGATCGCTAATGGAAAAGTTGGTATCGAAAGAAGTAAAGCAAGGACACTATTTTGCTTTGGAAATATTCTAAGATTTTACTTCTTTTGTACCATAATACTATTTGTATGTTATGTAATCCGTGGCAGTTAGATTAACTAGCCACATTTTGCAATATATTTGTGGATTGAATCAAGATCTTAAGAAATAATTTATAGACATTATAGAAATAAGTTGTGCCATAAGCAGATAGGAATATAAATTAGGTTGAGTCTACTAATTTTGAGTGTGTAAATTCTAAATCGTGTAAATTCGCTCCTTCAGTAGCGTTATATATTCTTGACCCAAAGCTAGCAAGATCTCTAATCTCTGACTTTTGGAGAGCGACAACCTTGAACTCAAGTACGTTGCTGATGAGAGCCTTCAACCGCAAACTCCAAAACTGAATTCCCAAATATCAACACAATGCGAACTTGAGGGCAAGTCATTATCTAATGTTGCGACAAATGAGTGCAAGTCAGCCTTTAGGCCCTCCGCTTGGTAAGAGTTCACTGTCACTATGTCAGAAGCGCTTCATTTGTAAGCGTGCCACACAATTAAGGCTAACAATGCTGGGGTTAACAATGGATATTTGTAAGATGCCTGCCTGTCTGCCTGTCTCCATTCCCTGGTGACAAAGTCGGACCAAATGGGTAAGTCCTACGTAGGCAAATCCACGACTCGAAAAATCCCCACCTCTTACTGGACTGCGGTTATCTAACCGAAAGTGAAATGGGCCCAGACCGACCAACTGCAACTGCCAACTGAAGTTGCAACTGCAATAGCAACTGCAGCTTCAACTGCATAAATGCAAAACGCGAAATGAGCATGAAGAAAACCTGGGCCAAACATAATACTTAAGCACTCGTAGTTAACAAACTGTAAATTTGTTAAACAGCAAAAGGAAAACAAGACGGTACAAACCAAACAGCAGCAAAATAATGAAAATGAAAATAAGAAGAAAAACCCCGACTCATGTAATAGCCGGCGAATATATACAAATGGGACAAGATAATTGCAATTGGAGGCGGTAGCTGCCGTAAAAGGGTTTTAAGTGGTAATACCCTATGATGAAAAAAGTGCTTACAAATTATGGCGCAGAAAAACATGAAAATACAATGTAAGACATTACTTTAAGAATATTACCACTTTGGGTTATTCTAAGTTTGCATAAAAACGCTATTTAATATTTCCAAAAATTTGTTTATGATAAAACCTAATTACTGAGCGGAAAAATCTGAGCTGAAGGCCATTTGCAATTCGTGGAAAATCCAATAATCTCATTTTGACCTCTCCAAATTGTTTTCTTAAAAATGTTTGCTTATTTTAGCCACTGTTTATTGGGTTGTCAACTTAAAGAGCGGAGATGGGAGATATAAATGTTTTCCGATCGGTATAATTCGTGGTTAAGTTAAGTTTCCGCCGAACCGATAATGTGGCCACTCAGTTCAAGTTGAATGCACAGAAAGTGAATCCAATTCAACTCAACAATGGCCCGCACCCAATATTGCGTATACGCCACCGCATCGTTAAAAAAGAAAAACTATCGAACGACAACCGGACAAATTTAAAAAGGAAGGAAGTAACCGATTGGATTTAACATACAATTTATAACGGCTCATGACAGATGAAAGAAGTGATGATATAATACTGGATTGCAATAAGTCTACAATTAAAATAAATTCATTATTGTCACGGGAATGCATGTCCTGGGTCTTCTCATAAATAAATATATAAGGCGCCGGACTCCAGAGTGCCACTTCCTGCCATTATGGCGTTCGGGTTTTTTCTATCTTTTTATATCATCATCCAGCCGAAGTACGAGGCCAAAAACACACATGTGCTTTTAATTTTTCACTCACTTTTCATGGGTTTTCCTCGGCTGCTAGTGTTGCGCCTTTTTTTTTGCTTGTTAATTGACGTGGGGCAATTGGCAAAGCAAGCAGGCAAAAATAAATAGGCGCAATGTAAAAATGTGTTGGGAAAAGTTTTCAGAGTGTAACGTGAAGTGCGATAACAGGCCGCTGCGCATTGGGAAATGCTAGAAAATACCCGAGCATCGACCATCGAACAGCAAAGCCACCAAAGTCCACTCCACTTCCTCGACTTCCTGCTGCAGTTGCTCGTTAGTTGCGCAATGAACTTCAACTTCAAATTCGCAAATGTTCGGCTGTGCCGGGGACAAAAATATCTGAAATCCATATCGGAAATGAACCCGTTTTCGTCGTTTTTTTGGCCGATTTCTATTATGTTTTATTTGTGTGTCTGGTTGAGGGGAATTTGGTGCATTATTTGGATCTATATGGATATGGGACGCCAGCCAGCTGGGCAGGAAAAAAGTGAAAGCATGCCAGGCGCTTGGATTTATATTTGCCTAGCACTCCAGCAAGGGGCATCTCCATTTTTCATGCCCCCGTTGCTCCACTGTCAAAATATAATACTGCCGAGATTATGGCTATGATGCAATCGAATCGGCCTATTCCGACAAATTGAGCAACAGCTGCTGCCGCGATCTCGTCCTGGTTGCCTGTTTCGAATGTTTATTTTCGAGGCGAACGCACAAGAAACACGCTGGCGTGTTTTGCTGTCATGGCTGAAATAGCATTTTGCAAAGCGGTGCGTCCACATTTTTCTCAGGTGCCGTGCCGCTTTAATTGTGCCCGTTTGAATATATTTTATTGAATGTGCAATGCAATTTCATTATTTATTCAGTCGGACGGACACACACCGCAATACTGCGACCACTTGGACACACATGTATGAGCAGGCTGTCATTAAGCGTATTTCACTATTTCACTATTTCACCATTTCACCATTTTCGCGTTAACTTGACCTATGAGCTGGCTCGCTTGACTTGGCCTGACTTTTGGGCCATCCTCGCCCCATTGGCCAATCTGCCGCTCGTCTGGATCGCCAAGGTGCCACATCGATTAATGGGTGCCCTAAATGAGCTCGTTTCCCTCTAGATAAATAACTATTAAGCTAATTGAATCAAGTTGGGAAAATGGCACTTCAATTACTTTAGCTGTGTGGTTTTCATTTGTTACTTTAAACGAACAAATGATGATTAGGATCGCGAATCTTATAATTATCTACTGTTTGAAAAGTTATGGCTCCTCTGAAATTAGAAGCCTATTTTTGCTCATTAAATTTAATCTACACTTATATTAACATTACAACTATGGCAAAACATTGTAAAAAGTCTCGACCTTTTCTAATACGTAAGTTCTTAGACAAAGTTGACCACATTACAACTATGGCAATACATTGTAAAAAGTCTTGACCTTTTAAAAAACGTAAGTTCTTAGACAAACGTATGATTCAATGGTTACTAATAAGTTGTAATTTTAGCGGCTTCACTGAAAGTAATTAATGAAGTAGTCTAAGTGCTACCAAAATTTTAACTGCTAAATGCATTTCAAATTAACATTTAGGATAGTGCTAGCTGAAATTAAATTCATTAACTTGGCTGACTTAAACACAATTTTGAAGCCGCCCAAGTATATGCTCCTCATGTTTAGTAGATCCCCAAAGTATGCAAGCAGATTCATTCAAGTTTCGCTCAGTTGATGATTTAATTGACTTCATTGATTTCTTGGAAGCAAATAATAAACGCGATTTAAAAGAACAGATATAGACGGGGCATTAAATAATAAAAATTTCATCATCAAGCAATTTAGTTTTCGATCACGTATATCTACTTACACGATACTGTTCCCCTTCATTGCATTTTATTACGTGCATATCGATAAAGAAATTCTTGTGAATCAACTGTGAAGCTGACGGTTCCGCGAAATGGCCTTAAATCAGTCAGCTATGAGTATATATGGCCAAGTAAAACATATTCTTTAAAGCAGTTCCCCTTTTCCCAGGGCGAACGACATCCACTGTGTGCCATTAACATACACCCAAGAAAGATCCATTCATTCAACGGCTGCTCGACTGCGTCAGATGCCGCTTACATGGCGAATATTTGCAGTGTGTGACTTTAAGATGCGGTTTTTATCCAGCGCACTCGGAAATACCAATTGAGTCACCATCTTTCCCAACGCCCAGCACGCTCCAAGGCGGCGACTTGCTGGCTAATTAAAGCGATTCCAATCTGTGACTCCCATGACGCGTGCGCCAACGGAACTGACGTGTACGGCGCCCGCTCGGAATACCAAATGTATTTGAGGCATTAGATGGGCTCCATCGTGGGCATAGTTTCATTGGTGGTGGTGCCGAGAGCAAGTGCGATCTGAGAGCTTTGCCGGCGAGCTTTGTCCGGCAGCACTTTTACTTTCAGCAGCAACAGGTGTTGGCCGGCAAAAGGTCAACTTGGCCGACTGTGAGAAGCCCTACGCTTGGCGGGTTTAGCCCGAAAGAGAAGGTGGTAATCAACTCACACATGGGTATTTTCAGTTTGGGGAAATTTTTGGGCAGTAAAAGGGAGATAGCTTTGAACACCTTTAATTACTTTATTTATGCATTTTCTGGGTGCGCATAAACTAAGTTTCCATTTAGCCGTGGTTCTAGACTCTGGCGGGCTCTTTTTTTGTACCAATTAAAAAAGCAATAAATCTCTAATCTGGGATGCTCAATAACAAGTGGACAGATAATGCTTAATTACTAAAATAGGTCGACGAAAAGGGCAAGTTTCTCGTTGTGTATTTTTGAAGAGTATACATTGCTTTCAAAGCCGGCCTATCATCCAAATGCAGTTTTGATTGACTTCCCAGATAACCAACTACTGATACCGCTAGTTTAAAACAAAGCTCTGACATGCAAATCGTTACTGTGTGGTTGCTTTAAATTTTTAGGTCCTAATAATTCATATGTGTTTCATAAATTACGCGATAACGAAGTGACATTTGCTCGTCAAATGCCAAAAAAACATAAATTTTGTACTAAAGTTCAAGGAAGCTATGATGAATAACTATGAGAAAAAAAACTAGCTTTTTGTAACAATTTAATATCGCCAAAAAATATACTAGTATTGTTCATACCGTATAACTTTTTTGATATAACTTATAAAGTCCAAGTCATAAGTATTTGGTTCAACAACAGTGCTCCTTTTTGAAGTGGTAGTTTGACACGCACACTTTTCTCCAAGTGTAAGATGATTCAGACAATTGCTGGCAAAGTTTTTCGTGAAGCAGGCGCACTTAGTAGTGCCGCTCCAGTCAGCTGTGATAAAATCGCGGACCGCTTGCCCAGGCGTCCCGCTCCCCCGCTCCCTCGCTGCCTCGCTCGACCGCTCTCTCTACCCATCTCGCTCGCACCCCCTGCCAGGCGTCTCGCTCGCGCACAGCGCCCGCTCCCGCTCGCACTCTCGCAAACTTGCTTAAAGCTGCACTTAAGCACGGAGCAATTGTTTGGGGAGCAGCCGAGTCGGCCTTTGGGGTCCACTTTTCAGTTGCCTCCCAGACGTGCGCTCTCGCTGTCGTGTGTTCTCGATCGCGAGAAATCGAAATCCCAGTCGAAATCGAACTTGGCTAATGCTTAACCCTCTGCACGCCCGGGGAGATATGGTGAAACTCTCGATCTGACCGGAAAACCCCAGCGCGCGTCGCTATAATCCCAAGATCGGTGGCAGATGGTTTCGCGTCCATAAAAGCGCAGGCATCTCGCGCTTTTCGTGTCACTCAAAGCCGGCGCACAGATCCGAAAAGTACCGGACGCACCTATCCTGCGATCAGCTCTACTTGGATAACGTGGATTGCCCCTGCTTTAGGCCAAATCAGTTATAATCAATATATCAGTATACCGCGGCATTTCATCAGAGACCCCGATCCGAAATCCGAAATCCGAAAACCGAAAACCGAAAACCGAAAACGGTTCCCCCAAAGCGGCGAGAGCGAAACTAAAGTGAAAAGCAAACCGACTAATTGAAGTGTCTGCCTGTGACTCGCAAACGTGCAAAGGAAACAAACAAAACGGAATAGCCAACATATCACACTGAGCCACCGCACAAAATATTTATAAATAAATACGGCAACAGTAACACCAGCTACCGATATAAAAGCCCGGCATTAACATTTAGTCGTGCCAGTTTGTTTATTTTCTATATACGCAAGCCCATAAAAACACAGATCACTAAAAACAGCAGCAGCAGCAGCAGCAGCAGCAGCGCGCCGCTATAATAACAAAGTTGTAGAAATAAGAAAATTGGTATAAGCCGCCACCGATCCGCCAATCACCTGCTATACTCGCACACTATAACTAAACCCGACGCAGACGCACGCCGTCCACAGAATCCATATAGTTATAACTACCCAAGTTGCTTGAGCCGAGATCGGTCATGATGACGCCCATGTGGATATCGCTGTTCAAAATCCTGCTGCTAGTGTTCGCCTTGTTCGCCACGGTGAGAAGCTATCCAAATTCCGAAACAGTCGAACCTCCATAATCAAAACTGTGGTTTAGAGCAAATATTTAAATAGCTTGCCATCGAATCTGATAAAAGGTTAAAGTGTCCTTAAGCTAACAAATTTGCTGTCTTCTTGAGACAAGAACTTAAGAGCTTGAGACCAGAACTTGATTTTTGTTTGGAGACAGTTGCTTGTTCCAGTTATGAAAGTTCGACTGTATTTCTGCTTTTTGTGTTTCGTGTTAATCTATGCCTAACATAACTGTCATATCATTGCAATATATCTCTGGCTATGGGCTTTTTACTTAGCTTTTTTCGATTTTCCGTAGTTGTTCTAGCAGTTCTATTAGCCGAAGGGCAGTTTCAAGTTGAAATTTAGTCGGAGACTGGAAACCTGTTCACATGGCCATTAGCAAGTTATGTGCAATTTTCATTCTCTATAGAATAAATGGCATTACAATAATATTAATTGTCATAAACAATGCCAGACATTCTGCACACGACTTTTGAAGTAATTTACTGCCGACAAATGGGATGATCATCTCTGTGTGAAAAGCAATTAGTCCGTAATAATGGCGTTGCATAATACAAAATCCGTTTGAAAAGCGCCTGAGACTTTTGTCTTTCCGGTTTTCCGCAAATTCCGCAGCGGACCGGTTTCAAAGATCGTTTTGAGTTCTAGCTAAGTTCCAATGGGTTCATGGAAAACCTAAAACTGTGGGGGAAAACGATCCAATGTTTGCCTTAGTTGCCTTATTTGCTTCAACCCAAAACACTGATGAGCGCGTTTAAAAAAAGGTTGATTGCTAATTGATTGTCGAGCTTGGGAAAAAACATTTCCGAGAAATCGCAAAAGTTCTCAGGCAATCAAGTTCCGATGGGTTGGCACCTAAAATCGAGTTTAATACGTGCTCATCGAAACCTAATTTTAATTTGAACAAATTCCTTTGAAGATTTTGGGCACTTAATTCGAGAAATTAATCATATTAAGAAGACTTCTTAAGCTTAGAGACTATTATCAAGGCGTTTTCATCCCACTGCGTATATGTTTATGCCATACAAGTATTTAAGGAATAGCACACAAAGTGCTGATAAGTCTTCGGATTATCAGAACATTAAAAGCAACTGTTACTATTGGCTTCCGGTTTGATTATTTCGGCCGTAAATTTTTTCCTAAGGATCGGCTGCCTATAGACTTATCAGTTTATTACTGCTTGCGTTGATATTGAAATGATTTGCGATAATCTCTCTCGATTTCCAGTTGCTAAGTAAGTTATGAGCAACTCTTCCGGAAATTATCAACTCAGATTTTGGCTCTTTTATCTTGCTGTGTTATATATAGGTTCGGGTCCTAACTCAACAGAACTATAGAGCCGATGGCGGGAGAAAACTGCGCTTGCCCAGAAAACAGCTGTTCAAACTTTTCGAATAAGCAAATGTAGTGCCGACAATAGAGAGAGTGACAAACAAACGAGCCCGAGCAGCGACCCACGAATATATATAGACCGTTGTCTTGGCAATGCTGATGAACCGCAAACAAAACTCTCACCTGTATCTTTCAGATAGTTTATATCAATATCCAATTATCGAAGCGACACGAGGCCGAGGTGAGGGCAGCGAAAACAGAGGCAGAATATAATGCCCTTTTGGCATCCATGAGCAAGAACGGAACCGGAAAGCCAGCATCTAGTTACTTACAGGTGTGAGCACACTGTCCCGAAACAGACCCAGTTGTATTCTTATGCTAAATACCCTGTACCTCCTAATAACCCTTTGTGTCTGTGTGGTCAAAACGTCTGAACCGAGACTAAAGTCAATCGTCTTGTCTTTTTATTTCGCCATTTTTGCTACAGTACGAGGCCAAGGATTTTGAACATATCATCAAAGAGCTTTTTAAAATAACCAATGATGAGGGAGTTGTCCTCTTTAATGTAAGTGTATACCTAGGCAAACGCATGATTCCTTTTAAGAATTCGTCTTTGATGTGATTCACCGCCTAGTACCTGAGATCAATGGCGATCGATTGCTTCAGAGACGAATTGGTGCTGCTTTCTTATAACTATTGTTCACCATATAATGCATCCCCATTTCACTGCTCATTCGGTTTCTTATTGGGTTGTGTGTTGTCTTTGTGCTTCCTATTTTGCCACCTGGCTAAAGACTAACACGAGTGAATTCTACCCGAACAGACGACCGCGGACAGTGCACCCTTCATGCCCATACCCACCCAGCGCGACGATCCGCCCCAGAAACAGAATCTGAATCTGAATCAGTCCCCGATCCCCGAAATGAACCGCCATTACCATCAGTACCACAGCCTGATCCAACCAGATCAGTACTTCAAAGTGCAGCGCTCCCCAAACGGCAAGCTGAATCTGGTCTTTAACGATACGTTCGTATCTTTGCAGAGGACGGACGCGGAGGTGCAATCCGAACAGCCAAGTACCCCCCGACATCCATCGGACAGTAAGTACCAAAAATATTTGATTATACTCGTATGCTCAGTTACATTCGATACTCTAACATGCCTTACAACTAACTACTAAATCGATCCCATACTCACTGGCCAACTGCCTTTGGCGCTTGCCTAATTTTAGCCTTTGTCTTCCCCGATTCGCCCATAGTCAAGTATCGGCCTCCACAATCGCCACCTCGTCCACTGAGGAATCTCACCCAGGAACATAATCCCTGCGCCAAGGGTGACAGCCCCGTGTCCAAGACCTTCTGCACGGAAGTGGACGACTACCCGGACCTTTCAGGCCTCACCCTCAAGCTGAAGAACAATTTCGCCAAGTTCTTTAGCAACGAGTTTCAGCCCACGGATGTGGGCCCTCGCCTTGGTGACGCGGACGAGCGATTCCTCTGCAGCAGCACCAGGAGGCTTGTGTACCCGAGAAAGGGCATCGTAGCGGACAACACCTGGCAGTACATTGTCAATAACGATGAGTACAAACAGGCCATTCAGGTCGAGGAATGCGAGTAAGTCGTACAATGTACCGCAGCTAGATTTCAAAGGCCTTGCTAATTGCTAAACCTTCCCCACAGAGGAGATGGCCAACCCTGTGACTTCGCCGCCAACTTTCCGCAGAACTACAATCCCATCTGCAAGCAGCACTACACACAGCAGACCCTGGCCAGCATCAAGAACGATGGCAAAGTGGACGTGGTGCAGCAATCCTTCCGGATCCCATCCTGCTGCAAGTGCGCCTTGAAGACTAAGTGATTCTGCAGCATGGGATTCTCCAGTCGATGGCTGCGACAATGTGATATTGAGGTATGTGATATTTATTCGTACATTCAATTTTAAAATAGCTACAGAACAGAAACGAAGGACATTCAACTATCAGGGGACTTGTAGGAATCCTTGAGACTGGGCACAACCGCTTCACTTGACCAACTTGCGCAGAGTCCATCCGACGGCGTAGAATCCCACCAGCTTCAGGGCCATTCCCTTGCTTTCAGCCTTCACCAAATGCTTAAACTTGTTCTCGAAATTGCCATCCATCTGAATGAGATAGTATAAGGTCAGCAAATCAGAAGTTTGCGAAATATGTTTAAGGGAGGATTTTCGAACTGTGCGTTCGAACGTATTTGACTTTAGTTAAGGAATGTTTATTGTGACTCGTAGAGACAAACTTATCAGACTGAGACTACAACCCGAAATGTATATACAGCTTCAGTGACATTATAACCCTGTTAACTAGATCAAACATTTATATATATTTCATCTCTTTGCAGCATGAAGTTTCACCCACCACAGAATGGCAGGCCAAACTGATCAGGGGTCGTTGATTTATTCTATAATCTGCAGAATCCACACTTAGACTAATGTGCACATTAATTGAGAGCTTTAGGTCGAGTCACTGTACCCATATTCGTGTCATATATTCATTTTTGGCTTCCTCGTCGAATGCCTAAGCTAGAAATGCAAGTAATTAGTCATAGAATACAAAGAAAGCTAAACAAATAATAATAAAAATAACAAAAAAAAAAGATAGAAATAACGATCTAAAAAATGTATGTTAAAAAAGATAATGTATAATAAATGTATGCAAGTACATGCCAGCAAAGTAAAGTTCTTTGAACCCATCAGCGAGTCCTGGTGGACAATTTATTTGCTTATTAACAATAATTCGGTTCGCCCCGCTGCGCAAACCAATTACACCCTAGTGTGTGTAAACACACACCCCAAAGGGGTGGATTTCGCCGGCAAAAGGATAACATGCATCGCATGGCGCTGAAGTTTCTGGCGCTGAAGTGTACAACTGACAACGGGGCGTATGCGCGATGTGTCTTGAGGTGCTGGCGCTGGCACATGTGGAAATCAATAGTATTTATCGATTCCCAGACACAATAAACTATGTCAAAGTTAGGCCGAACAATGCGAATGCTTGTGGATTCGTTGTGGGCGGGCAAAGTGCCCCAATTTAATTACTATTATTAGGTATCCTTCCCGTTTGGCCAAATCCAGTGTCGTGTCCTGGTCGATTGGGCATTGGCCAGGGTCATCAATCATGCACTTCCCCACAACCACACACCCGCCTCCATATCAATTAGCAACTATCCATATATCTCTGCCCGCCGATTTTATATATATAGTTTGGGGTGCCCTTTGCAAAGTACTTTTCCTCATTACGCCACTGGCTCCCTTGCGCGGATTGTGGTCACTCGGCGTCCCTTCGTGTTCTGTTCTGATTCACTGAGGGAATAAACTTGGATTTGTATTCGAACGCTGCATACCTCTGAAGTCACCCAGCAATAAAAGTCAGTCGGAATAAATACGTTTAATGCATAATCACAGTCGGCATTTCCACATCTGTATTTTAAGTACGCCTGCATTATCGGTGCTAATTACTTTAAATATTTTGTTAAGCAATGCACAATGGAAACGCGATAGAACTGATGACCCTTTTATATTTCCGTACACTTGCTGCATACCAGTTCTCGAAACGGATGGACCCGACCCATCATGGAAACGATGGAACTACAAACAAGGATATGGACAACATGCAGGACAGTCAGACAGTGTCGGCGTTTCTGGTGGGAATGGAGATGGGCTGTGGGTCGCATTGCTGGCTCGTAATTGCCGCAGCACATTTGCATGGCCGAAGGAGTTAATGGGGGTTGCCTGATTTGTTTGTTGGTAGTACTATTGCCACTGCCAGCCAGCCGTGTTGTTGTTATTCGGTTGCTGGCTGGCTGGCTGGCAGGCAGGCATCGGTGCGGTATAAATACGTTCTGTTGACGACGCCCGGGCTCCAATACGCCGGTAGTCGCTGCTTCAGACCAGTCACCCGCTGCACTGGCTCCACTTCGAGTCGATTTTTCCAGAGTTCTAGCTCCAGCTTTCGTTTCGGGCCCTCATAATGCCCAATTATGCAACTGCCTTCTGTTGGCAGTAGCGGTGGAAAAAGGCAAATAAGCAAACGATAAGCTGCTCAACCGTTCCCACTTGGACGCCAACTGTTCCCTGCGTAAGCGCAACATGTGGGCGCTGTGACGTGCATTCGGATAAGGCTCATGCTCATCACCCTGCTCATTGATATGCCGCAAAGTGCCTAGGAAAATCACCGGCAGTGTGCGTTAAAAAAGCGGAAAAATCACACACAACATGCAATAATCGGGGGCTTTTCCACTGGATTGACTCATGACATGGCTATGGAGGATCGCAATCGCATCTGGACCACGGGCAACATCAACCATGGCTTCTTTGGCGACAATCTGCAGCAGCAGCCGATGCCCCTGCAGAGATTGCAGACACCAGGTAAATTTGTTTTTAATATTAATTGGCTGATTAATATTTCAAGCACCCCTGATTTAAGAATAAAACAAGATATACTGCTGTAGTCGAGATCCTCGAATATCAGATACCCGTTACTCAGCTAGTGAAAGTGCAAACGAGAAATTTCAACATTTTATGGACATCGGTAGAAATTGTGTAAAAGAATTCAACAAATTTTCAAAAGCGTGGTTGTGACAGTTTTGGGCGGCCTGTGGGCGTAGGAAAACGATTTTTGGAGATCGATAGTATATTACAAGACTAATAAAAAGGGCAAAAATATCACATTTTTCAAAAAAGCCACTTCAAAATCCAATTAAGATAGGTTGAGTTATGGACTTTGGAACTTCAGCCTTGGGACATTTTTGAAGTTCTACATCATAACACAAGAAAAATTAAAAAAAAATGAAATTCTAAATTTGAAAGCAGATTTTTAGAGAATTGCTCCACAGAGGTATGCCACTTCAAAATCCGATTAAGATAAGTTGGGTTTTGGACTTTGGAACTTCAGCCTTGGGACATTTTTGAAATTCTATGACATCATAACATCAAATAAATTACAAAAACAAATTTAAAAAAATGAAGTTCTACTACTTTCGGTCTACTACGAATTTTTATATTATTTAAAAAGTATATTTCCCTCTTATCACAGTTCCTGGCAACAAAACCGAATGATTTAAAAATGCCAATTAGTAAAAGGTGACTTTCAGTATACCTTAAAATCTGTTTTAGATTACTTGTAAATATTTGTAAACTCACAACTGCAGGAGAAAAGTGAATTGTTTTTTATTGCTATTGGAGCTAAATGCATTCGTAATTGAATGAGTCATGTATACTTTTTAAACGTATGTAGATAGATGTTCCTAATTAAATCGAGTATAATAAGGCAATTTATGGTACTGGAATCTGCCTAATAACCACTTGAAATCTTTAACCGCAAAACCTCAAATATCCATCCGTATGTCGTGGAACTCGGAAAATGACTGGTCAGATTTACATTGCATGACGTGTAGAATGAATCTACCGGAACCACCCATCGTAAATCGATCCGAAACTTTTGTTTCTTATCGTGGATAGCCATTTAAAGGCCCATTCGGGAGTTCCGACCATTGCGGCTTTATCTTCAACGTCAATGGGTTGAATGGTAGCGACATCGTCATCTGTTGCATTTCCGGAATTTGCTACGCTATTTCCGTCTTCATCTGCTTGATCCACGGCAGCTCCAGACGCAGTTTGTTTGGGTTTCCGAATCCCTTTTGCTTTTACCATCCCGTCTTGGTTATTTTTCTGATTGATTCTAGCCAGTTTTCCGAACAGCACAATGCGATCGTGCATGACGAAACCGACCACCATTAGAGCCACCACCATGAACACCAAGCAGTCTATAAAGCTCGATATCATTCTATAGGGTCTTCCAATCTCAGCCTCGAATCTGGCAGCCTCCTTGAAGATCTCAATGGTATTGTACACATCGTCGGCCATGCCGAAGAGATTTGCCTCTATTTGGGAAGTATTGAACATCAGCACGGATAAAGAACGAAACATTTGGTTACTATTTTTGAATTTTGTATTTTACAATTATGTAATGCGTAACAATTACATCTGACAAAGGCCGAAAAGCTACAGGCTTGGAAAACCAATATTTATAGACCCCAATAATATTCTTCGTTCTAGAAGTATGCAAACACGTAAATGACCGGATTAGGTGTTTGACCAAAAAAGCCCTCACTGTCTCTATTTTGCATGCACATTTGATATCGGCTCGTGGGGCTTAATGGGCTTTTATATTTTAAAATGGCTGAAACTACTGCCGGACACGCGAAATGTTTTCAGGCCATTGAACCGGACGTTGTCACCAGCTTAAAACGCTTGCTGTCTTCGTCTTTGTGTATATGCAGGTCCGCATTCGCAGGACGTTCCTGCGACAGGTGTATGCATTAGCCAGGCGATTAGGGACACCCCCAGGAATGGGATCACATGTCCAATGACGACAGACACAGAAAAATGTCCCAGATCAAGATAAGAGGGTATACACGAACATTGAAAAGCGGTGGGTGGCATGGGTGGTGGAGGCACAAACACAATTGACAACATTCGACTAATTAGTGTTAATAAAACGTACCTCTGAGTATCTGCCATCGATTGAAATCCATTTCTCAAATCTAATTGAGCCTGGCCAGAGACCAATTAGTACTGAGTCGGGGCATTGTACTCAAAGATTGCTCAAACCCAATTACAGGTAACCTCAGCCTTCTTTCGGCACCCATTCGAGCCAATGGCAGTGGCAATGGAAACGCAACTGCCAATGGACATGGACACAATTCGGCCACGGAGAGTGCGAACGGAAAGCAGCTGCCCTTCGAGCCCGTATCCCCAAACCTAATTGGCATACAATCCAAGTAAGTGCGCCTCCTTTTAGTTCTTAACCATTATCTAACCTACCGGTGATCATTGTCCCAAGGTTTCGTCGGAGTTACTACCACAAAGTGGTGTTGGGCGGACTGGTGGCCCTCGTCATCATTCTGCTCATTGCAATCATAGTCGTAAGCCTAGGCCGTACGTATTAATTAATATTTTTAGTGCAGTACCTAGTAATTACAAAATAAAACTCACTCACATGCTCCATCCCAGTTAAGAAATCCAGCTCGATTTGCCGGAGCAAGGAGTGCATCCGCACAGCGGCCAGCCTCATCTATGCGATGGACGAGCAGACTGATCCCTGCGAGGACTTCTACCAATTCACCTGCGGCAGGTGGGCCAACGAGCATCCGCGTCCGGATTCGGTGACCTCGAACGATTGGTTCCGGGAGCGTCAGGCGAACATAATGCGTGTGGTCCGCGAGTTCCTCCGCTCGAATATCACCAAATCGGAACCGGAAGCGGTGGGCAAGGCCAAGACAATGTACAGAGCTTGCATGGATACGAAGCTGCTGGACAAGCGCGATCTGGAGCCACTGATAAACTATCTGCTGCGTTTTGGACTGCCCATTCTGCCCTCCGCCTTGAATCTCACTCTGGGAAGCGGTTCCAAATACGCCACAGAGGCAGCCAATGTCAGATACAACTGGCTGCAGTCCATTGTTTCCATTAAACAACACCTCACCATGGACCTCATCATAGGGTTCGATGTCTTTCCGGATCCGTTTAACCGCACCATTAACCGCATTGCCCTCGGAACTCCAGAGTCTGATTCAGCGTTTCCTTTGTGAGTGACGAATAAGTTTATAAAATATGTTGTGCATATTAAGTTACTTGAATTACCTTTAGCAACAACGACGACTCCCATAAAATGCTGCGAAAGATCCACCGCAAGACCATTTTCATGCAGAACAGCGACGATGAGGACGACAGCGAGGAGGAGCGGGAGAGCGAGGAGGAGGAGGCCGCCAAGCAGACCAGCACGGGAATGACCGCCTACCTGCACTACGTCCGGAAAGTCATCGAAAAGTATCTGCTCTACGTGGATCCCAATGTTAACCAAGAGGAGGCCACCCTGGGCATCACCGAGTTGGTCAAACAGGGCGTTAAAGTAGCAAGGAAGGTGCATGAGGTGGGTTTATAAGTACACCGTAATATCAGTAGTAATATATTTAATTGACAACACCAGTTGAAAGAGGAGGCCGAAAACATGACCAAGCCGTCGAAGAACCCGGCGGATGACATTGTCTACATTACCCTGCAGGATCTGCAGAACCAAACTGACAAGAACATCGCACCCAAGACACTGCCCATCTGGGTTCGTTACATGGAATTGATCCTAAAGGGCACCCGCCACGCCGGCAATATACAAATGACCCAGAAACTGACAATAGTAACCAGCCAGGCAGACATCACGTATCTGCAGAACATTGTGGAGTATCTGGAGGACACTCCCGCCTCCCACATCGAATCCTACCTGTTTCTGAGTACCATCGAGGAGCTGATTCTGCACACATCGAGTTCGATGCGCTTGCTCCACTCGGAGTACATGCGGGTGGCCATTGGCACAGAGGGCAGCACCCCGAGATCCCTCTACTGTGCCAATGGAGTAAACAGTTTGCTCGGAATGGCAGTGAGCTATGTCCTGGCCGACGCGGACTTCACCAAGGAAAAGCTGCCCAAAGTTGAGCGGATGCTGAGTGATATACGGCGCTCCTTCGATCGCCTGGTGAAGTCCACCTCGTGGATGGATGCGGCTACCAAGAGGAAGACCATTCAAAAGTCAGCTGAGATGAAGAGCTTTATCGGATTTCCCCCTTGGCTGCGAAATGCCACCGTGCTAAATGCCTATTACGAGGGGGCCGAGATGAATGCCAGCACCCATTTGGAGAACCTCATGGACTTCGTCCACTGGCAGATGATGGAGAAGCTGAACGAAATGGATAAGCCAGAGCCCATTGGCTGGGCCACTTCGCCTTCGAATGTGAATGCTTTTCATACGTTTCAATCGAATGCAATCAGTAAGTGCACTTCAAGAAAAGCCCCACTGAAAATAGGGAAAGCTGGCAATTAACAATGCTATTTAAATTAGACATTAATGTAACTAATAATGGCCTAATTATCTGCTCAACTTGACCGCCGTAAATTTTATCATGACTAGATTTATCAATCATGAAATTTAAACATTCTCCTATGTATTGATGAATTTGATAGTGTGACGATGTTCTGAAGTTCAGTGGTGCTTTGCCTGAGTATGGACAACATTTACTTGTGGAGTGACTAATCCTGACACTATCTTCTTTTGCAGCTGTGCCCATTGCCATTTTGCAATACCCGTTTTACGACCTTGGTCTAGAGTAAGTTCGTCCAGGAATAGCACTAAGTACTAAAAACCGAGCACTGAGCACACAGATAGCCGAGCAAACAGAGAACCAGGCACGTTCCCACACCCGCACCCGCACCCGCACCTAGCACTAATCCCTGCCCGGATGGCCCTAACCCGTGTGTTGGTCTGTGTCCTCGGCAGGGCGCTCAATTACGGCTCGATTGGAACCATCCTGGGCCACGAACTGACACATGGCTTCGACGACAGCGGCAGGAGATTTGACCGCGCAGGGAACTTGGTCGAGTGGTGGTCAAATAGGACCATCGACGAGTATGTCAATCGCACCGAGTGCTTTGTGGAGCAATATAGCCGCTACCACCTCGCGGACATCGATGAATATGTGAGTACCTTTGGCAGTGTACGACTGTTATTATATTCTTGGGAAATGTAGGCTGTTGCCCAAATTACAGGAAACATTGCTTATGAATCATTCTAAATTTTCTACATATCGAATACCTGATTTCAACGCAGATTGACGGCGAACTGACGCTGGGCGAGAACATCGCGGACAACGGCGGAATGCGGGAGGCCTTCTACGCGTACCGCCTCTACGTGAAGGAAGTTGGACGCGAGCGGTCCAAGTTGCCCGGACTAGAGCACTACTCCCACGAGCAGCTCTTCTTCATCTCGTTTGGGAATCTGTGGTGTGAGACCTACACGCCGGCTGCATCGCGTTACGCCCTCAGCGATTCCCATTGCCCGGGACAGATGCGCTTGCGGGGAGTGCTCTCGAACTCGGAGGAGTTTGCCAGGACCTTCAAGTGCGCCCGAGGCACGCCCATGAATCCCAACCAGCCCAAGTGCCGCATTTGGTAGTGGGCTGTGCTCGAGGAGTAAGCAATTGGAACAGGAACAGTCAAGTGATTTTTCTACCCGTTTGTACTTAAGCTAGCCATATGTTTAGATCAAATATACAGGTGTCTTTTGCACGGTTCTGGATGCAGGTGCAATAATCTTAGTGGTAAAACGCTTCTCAATCGAAACCCTCCGAGCGCGCAGCTCATAAGTAGGCTACGTTTTGCGTGTCATAGCTAAGCAAGTTAAATTTTCATTGCATAATTTTGGGCTGTACGGGAATCTTACTTCTTACGATATTAAATACTTGCATGTGAATATTGTATATACTTTTAATTAACTACATTTAATATACATTCATTAAAATTCTATTGCGTTGACTTACAATACAAGTGAAAGACTCGAACACTCACATACGCACACATATACACTCAGCAAAATGGGGGCTTCGATCTTTGGTTGGTTGCTTAACGTTGTATTCGCACTCAAAACTCTGTGCTTATTCTGTTTGCTTTAGTGCCACCTGAGCTTCCCGATCGCCACAGCGGCGAATCAGTTTCCGTTTTTGATGTGGCATCTACCGCAGCGGTGACGTCTCGACACACGACAATGGCTTCTGGTTTTTAGCGGTGTATTGAGTAGGAGAAATGTGTATTAGTATTTTAAAAATATCTAAAACTCTTAAGAATTTAGCAAAAATTCTTAAAAAGAGCTACCAACTTACCGCTCGCAACGAAGTCGCTCGTGGCTTTCGACGGGCGCTGATGTAGGTAGTGGATGTGTTCATTCGATTGAGGTGAAGTGCTGGACCCGTTCCTTGTTTTCGCCAGTTGTGCGTGGAAACGAGAGGAAAATGTTAGAAAATTACTTAAAACCTAAAGCTGCTGAACAGGAAAATGCGGTTGGTGCAAATCATGCGGTTGCGTGTCTGTGTGTTTCTCAACTGGCATGCAAGGCTACGTAAAACCGAAAGAAACAGTGGCTACCAAGGACTATGGATTCCATGAGATCACCAACTGGCTTGCAATGAAACAAAATCACAACAATATAAATATAAGGAAACGGAGACGGAAACGGAAACGGATACTAAGTGAAGGGGCTGGCACCTAATGGGCTTGGGTTTCCGGAGTAGGGCATCGCCGACTTGGCGATGGTACTTCGTGGCCATCTCACCGGAAGCAACATTCATGCGATCGCCGCCGCTGCGCAGGAAGCGAGTCAGGCAGCAGCAGCGATGCAGGCCCGGCATGCGGTGCATCAGCTGGACGAATCCGCTCCTGAAACGGGCGTTCATGTAGCAGTAGATGATCGGGTTGTAGCAGCAGTGCGACATGGCCAGCCAGTGGAAGGCGAACCACACGTACGGCAGCGGCTCCCAGTGCGCGAAGTCCTCGTCGTTCAGCAAGAGCTTTGGAAAACAAATCGAGGTGAATGTTGATTTTGCACAGGAAACGAGCAACTCACCTGCAAAATATTGAAGGGCAGCCAGCAGCTGGTGAATACAAACACAACCGTCAGCATCATCTTGACCATCTGCAAGTGGAGAAGAGGGCGATTAATTTAAGGACACTGAATGCCAGAGTCTATTTATAGGACTTCTGCGGTCGTGAACCTCGCGAATCATTCCGCAGCTTTTATGACTCAACGACCTTGACCTCTGTTTCCCAGACGTAAAATCTGTTGTTTGCAATTCCCCCATAAAACATAAAACCATCCACTTCGAGTTTGTTTATATAGGGAGGCAATGACACGCTTTTATGGCCTATTGCAACTTATTTTTATCGTAGCAGCACAAGGTTTAGAAAATATGGTTTCCTTCAAGCCATTTGGCATTTGAGGCCATGATATGTGTCTACTTTTAGGCTGCCAAAACATCATAAATTTTACCTCCCTGTTTGACACGCAAGTTACCTATAAAACTCTCCCTCTGTTCGAGTTTTGTTTACCAGTTCGTGAACGGAAAAACCCGCACATTTCTAGGATATTCTATATATCCGAATAAATAATTTCGTTGAGTCACGGGGCTTCAATATCACTTATACTATAAAGTTGCCCAATTCGGAGGAGTTTTGATTGTTTTTCTGCAAATCGACTGAATTGCGAATATGGTGGCGTGGTTTACTGTAACAATGAACTCAGGGGCCACGTCTCTTTAACGTGACCACCTGAATAAAAAACTGGACATAAAGTTTTACGGCTAAAACAAAGCCACGATAAAGATGTTAGGTTCAGTTTGCACATCTAGAGCCTCGTACACTAAAAAAACTATTTATTAGATTAAAAAAACTTATTTCAAAGCCTCAAAACGTAAAATGATTCAGCTAGTTGTGCGAATTTGTTTTCCAAGGATATAAGAAACTGAAATATGAACATCTTTAACTTTTTTACTTGAGTGTATAAGAACAGATATTGCCTTAAGTGTTTGGTTTGGAAGACAGCCTGTTGATGCAAAATCAACAGATGATGAAATCAAAGATGAAAAGCAGACTTGCAGGGATAGAAATTGAATCTTATTTGCATGCAAATATAATGACATAATCACGGGCAACGCGACTGTAAATGGAATCTTGTTCAATGGCAGGGCATTATGAACTGATTCCATACTCGTTGTGGATGCGAATCTCGGTCTCCGACAATTTTCCGAGCTCAGATGGGTGCATCTGGCGGCAGTTTTCCGCTGGACAAGCTGGCAGTTGCATTTTATGAACCCGCCAAGTCGTTTTATTGGCCGCCTTTGTTGTCGGTCGATTCTGCCATTGCAAATGCAGTTTCCCGTTCCAGTCTTGAGTCGCTGCAAAGTTGATGGCAAAGTTAACGAGTGGGCCGTTTGATTCGTTTTAATGCCTCGTTTGTTGGCCATCCAGCCGGGGAGTGTTAACAGTGTCAACATTAAGTATACGCCGCGTTGTTGGACGTCAAAGCAGCAAGACGAGGAGCAAACAGAGTGCGCCCAAGCAAGCTCGTAATGAATGTTTATACAAATATGTTCATGCTGTTTTTCCCCTGACGCCCGTCAGCTGTGACCTTTGGCCCCAACATGTGTCTGCAGACGGCTGAACTCTGGCACCAACTTTCCCCAGCCCCACACAGAAAAAAATGGCTTGTTAAAATGTAAATATTTCTTTAGTATTTTCATGTTTTTTTCTAGTGCACTCGTCGACTGTGGGTGGAAACCGCAACATCATCTGGCGTCTGGAGAAGTCTTTATGGCTCGACCAACTGGAGTGCTAACTCTTTTGCCATATGTCATATGTGCCGGCTATATTTTCTGCGCCCGCGGCTCTGGTTTCATCTTTATTTTGGCAGTTTGTTTTGGCCACCTGAGCGTGACAGTTCCATGACTTAATTGCCGGCTGCGGAGGCTGCCGGCATTAGCTGCAATCACAAGGCACTTGGCTTTTTCGGTGATTTGTTTTGGTTTTGAACCGGTTGGTGGATAAGGCTGAGTCCGCCCATCAAAGTTTATGCCGCGCCTGGGCTTACATAAAAAATGAGCTCGTGTTCGTGGCTCAGTACAGCCAGCCGTGTTGTAATTCATCAAAATCTTTTTGGATTCACACCCACAAAATCAAAGAGGGCAGCTTTTGGAACTGGGCCATCAAAGTCTTAGGCTGACAAATGAGCTTGGATCTGCCGAGTCTGCTTCAATGAGGTAAAAAGTGAGAGCTCCATTTCGAGTGGAATAGAAAGGCTGAGATGGGGAACAAAGCAGACTTTATTCCAATTCCTTTCTCCGAAGTAATTCACTAATTAAATTACCGGACACGTTCGTCTCAGCCAAATGGTTCCTAATTCTAGGTCCTATTAGCTTGATTTATTGATGAAGTTTTGCTCGGCAAGAAAAAGCCTTTTAAGAATGGTTAATTTACCTTTTTATAAGTTAAATCGCTTAAGGCATAACTTCGATATTCAAGCTTTCTACGGCATGTGTTTATTTTGCCAGACTTCATTTATTTCCGGATGTTATTAAAGTTTTTCATCACAAAAAGTAACACCACTTAAATAACAACAAAAAGGCGGGGTAACGCGTTTGACTGCGTTTTTCTGACCAGCCTGTTAGTTTTTGTTATATGGATCTCTTTTTTCCATCTCTTAGCCTAATGACATTGAAAGCGAATGGAGAGTACGCAAACACAGCTTGCTGCAAATTAAAAGCAAAAAAATTGTATTCACAACGTAGCACAATGGAAATCTCTCTTTGCGTGGGAGTAGAAAAAAAATTTGGTATAAAATAATAACAACCGCCAATGGAAACTGGATCAATAAAAGGGTAAAGCACTAATTTTGAAGCTTACAACCATTAATCAATCCATTTCACTTATCGATTAGCTCGTGCCGCACGTTATCTTGACCAATTCCCGGTAATAACAACTGACCCCGGGGCACCCGCATGTCTTACGATGTGGTAATTGAGCCAGCTTTTAATTGCCTAGCAATTGCGAAAGTGCCGGAGAAAAAAGAAGCCTAGTTGGTAATAGTTTTTGTGATTTAAAAGCAGCAACCCGACAATCAGTCGAGGTGCGCACCCAACTCGCAAGTTGTTATCCGTGGAATGGCCAAAATCAAACGGTCATTAAAAATTTTGCTTCGCCGGCAGCCAAACTAATCAGCTACTAATTTACACGGCAAATTATAGGCCAAGTTTTGGCCCTTTTTGCAACCCCGCCTTGCAAACTGTGGCTTAACTTTTGAATTCAATTTGAGCGAATTATTTTAGCTTTCAGATGACTTTTATAAAGTTTGTTGCTCACATCTCATTATTTATAATATCTTTAGTGAACCAACTGAAAAGTTTAAGAGCTGCTAATGTTTCAAGTTGCGCTTTTACGGTTTCCTAAACATGCGAACAAAATGAATTGAGTACAATAACCAAATGACCACGACAAAAGGCCGTAAAAATCCAGTCATAAAAAATAATCCAATAAAATAATAAAAGCAAAACACGAAATGGGAGTGTGCCAAATGTACTTTTGTTTGCTGCAATTATAAGCTATGCGATTTATAGTCCTAAGAACAAGGCCATTTCCAAGAGAATTTTGCTTTCATTTCCCGAGCTTCTCTATAAGCCATATTAGACGATAAAGCCACCTTAAGTCAAAGACGGGATATTTTCTCGGGTTTTGAGGGATACTCCGCTGTTGCGCCTACTTTTACTTTTACGACCTACATACTTCATACATTATAATTAACCAAATGCCTGCATTAAGCAGAGGGGCGTGGCAGGAATACGTACAATTAATTAGAGCGCCCAAGGTGTCATAAACCTTTCAGCGTTGTCAATTAAACGGGAAAGCCGAAAGTGCGAGCCTAATACCTCACAATTTCTGTCTCCTTTTTGCTTTTGACCTCTCGGAAGTGCTTCAGCTGCGATTTATTGTGGGCGTGGCAATGGGAAATGAAAAAAAACTCACAGAAAAGGAAACAACACGCCCACCGGCGGAAAAGTATAGGTCATAAAAATTTTCGCTTGGCCACAGTATATATGTATATGTATTTTGTGGGGGGCCTTTTGTCGATGATGATAAAATAATGTATTTCTCTTTCTGTTTGCTTTGCGTTTTCCGCCAAATTGAATTTTAAAGATTTTATTTTCCCCATAAATTGTGTTTTCTACCCTCATACATATATTTTCGATATCTCAAAAGATTACTCATTTGCATTATTGTGAATTTGTGTTTTTAAATTTTTCAGGATATGAAACACAAAACTTAAGTTAAAACACTGCAATATAAATTTCACGTAGATACTTCCAGGCGTTGATATGTATCTGGTTTATTCTAAGTTTAAATGAGTGGTGTATATGCAAATAATTGGCTTAAGGTGCATATGACAGTAGGTAGTTAAGTGAAAGAATATCTGCATTGAAAAGGAAAGTGCACCAATTTGCAACAATGTGGCTGCTTTAGAAACTTTTCAAATTTCCCAACTGCCAACAGTCATGTCCTGTTTTTGGGCAGGATCTATACAGGTTCAATTCATTGGCCACTTCATCCATTCTGCTCTCAACAGCAGTTTTTCCGGCCAATTTCCCACATGCAAAGTCCTGTTTACGGTCGTTCTGTTGCACAGTTTGTCCTGTTTTGGCCATTTGGCCAGCCGGCCAACATGTTGCCTTTTTTATGAGCCCACTAGGAATTTCCAGGCAATGCCAGGCAATTCCAGGCAAAATGCACTTGTACCAAACGGAATTAATTAGGCTTATTGAAGAACCTCTTTGCTACCAAACTTTGCCAACACTTCAAACAATCAAATACCTATACTAAAGTATATATGTATTACTAGCTTATCTGAAATTTGAATCTGATTGGAGAGGGTCTCGACCAAATTCCCGCAAAGTGAGCCGCAGGGCGACGCTTTTGTAAGACGGATTGCCATTGATTGCGCGGGCAAAAGCTATAGGTAGAGCCATAGTCACGGTAAAGACAACAGCAGCAGTTCATTTTTGGCCCAGACAGGCGGAAGCGAAATATGAGTGAATATGCCAGTGAAATATGAGGCTGGGAACAAAGGCAGCGGCACACAGCACGCCGAATTGAACTGAGCCCATTGGAAAAATAGACAGCAATTTCTGGTTAACCCATTTGGGTGATATATCAAGTTTGGTTGCCTCCCCTCGAAATCGTTTCAATTTGTTTATATTTCTATGGACACAGTCCTGATTTCTTTACATTTTTATTTCAAGTGATATTTGGCAGGCATAGTTGAGTAAAGCACTGTTGTACCCAAGAAATATAAATATATATTTAATTTAATCACGTGCTTTATTGCTCATAGTATTGTGATCAGAAATTAGGAAAGCCTGGGAAACTTATTTTAAACTCATCTGAATTACTTGATTATTGCAATAAAAAGTAGGCTGATATGGGTTAAAGCCAACAGCAAAAATCGCGATGAAGTGAAAGTGATAAAGCTGGGCGAAAATGAGAGGAAGAAGCTCGTCCGGCAATGACAATGCCAAGCTGTCTGTATACTTAAGGCATTAAAACATTGTAGCAAAAAAGAAAAGAAAATCAAAATTAAAAAAATAAACAGAAATTCACAAAGAAAATAAAGCAAGGCAAATTGGAGGGTTTCAAAGCAGTTGGTAATGAGAGGGAAAAAACCGGAGCAACAGTTTGTCATTAACTTCAGGCAAACGATCTTGCTGCCTCTTCCCAGAAAAGTTTAAATAATATAAAAGACGAACTTTTGGCCATTGTGCAACTGAAGCCACTAAAACCGTTTTAAAGTTTTCGCACACTTTCCACAGCAATTTAGCGAAATGTTTTAATGAAAACTTGGCCAAGAAAGGATTCAAATTAATTGTCAGGATTTAAATTGCTGGTCAGCTGAGACCTTTGTTTCTATCAAACGACAAACTAGAATACAGGAGTAATGCGAATAACGGCCAGAAATCACTTTTTAATTAGCTCACTTCTCCAAGATGTCAACTACCCTTTTCAAAAGGTTAATTAGTTTAGGGAAAATGAGCGGAAAGACAGGGTCAGCAAATGATTAGCTTGAAGAGTGTGAAATGAATCTTAAAGGTTTTTTTTTTTTCGTAATTTTGTCACCGTTGTTTTTTATTTGTGCATAACGTACTTAAGCCTAGTATAATTAAAGTATATGTATTTATATGTATGGAGCAAGTCAGGCCCCGCTAAATCATCTTCTGCTACAAATCATCATCATCATCATTCGCTCTTCCGGGCGCCAGATGAGGTTCCCATCCAAGGAACCCGCACATGTCGCCTATTAGCTAATAGAATTTTCCAGGCAGGGCTGAAGGTAAGACTCTAATTTAGTTGAAGGTGAAAAATGTACAGATGCGAAAGGTGATAGCCAAAGTGAGTGAGAAAGGAAGGATTGAAACGTATTATGTACAAAAGTCGTGGGCGAAAGTGCCGCCCCCCTTTGAAAGGAGTGATGTAGGTCTGAGATAATTGGGGGACACGTGGTGGTCGAAGATCGTGAGATGGTTAATGTGATGTGGATGATGTGGTAATCGAGTGAGAGTTTGGGGGCATGTCAACGACAGGACTAGTCAGCATCTTGGGCCGAGTTCGAAGTTCGCAATTTTGAGTTCTCGATGGGTTGAAGATCCACTTAGTAGGGTCCGGACTTTCCAGGTGGTCCGTAGTTGCTGGACGGGGCCGAGATGGAGCCGCTGTCTCCTCCAGTGAAGCCACCATCGCTGCCAGTGGTGTAACCACCGCCGGTGTTGGTCTGGGTGAAGCCACCTTGGGAGCCCGAGATACCTCCAGAAATGCCGCTCGAATCCTTCTGGGTCTTGTACTTGATGAAGTAAACCTCGGGCTTCGATGGCTGCGTGGGTGCGGGCGTGGGGATGACAATGTCCTGCTGATCCTCGGGCTTCTTCACCAACACGTAGACCAGAGTCTTCTCCTCGTTCTGAGGCTGCAGAGGAATAACCGGAGCCTGGTACGAAGGTGGCGATGGGGCCTTGATGAAGATGATCTTGTAGTGCTTCTGGGACTGGCCCACGGGCAGGTTAGGGCGCTGGCGCACTTCTTCCTGCTCTGGTGGTGGCACGTGCACGTAGATGTGCTTCTGCACCAAGGTGGTGCCACCGCCGCCGCCGCCGCCTCCGAAACCGCCAATGCTGCCGCCTGTGGGTAAATAACATTGTGTTTTGCGTTAAAATGGATTACATTCGGAAGTGATCTTGGGTGCAAGGGACACGCACCTCCGCCGAAGCCTCCGCCGGAGCCGCCTCCGAATCCACCGCCGAATCCGCCGCCTCCTCCTCCACCACCGCCGCTGCTGAAGCCACCGCCTCCGCCGCTGCCACCGCCGAATCCACCACCGAATCCTCCGCCGGAACCACCGCCGAATCCGCCGCCGGAACTACCGCCGAATCCACCGCCCAGACCAACGCCCAGGCCACCGCCAATGCCACCGCCGGCGCCACCGCCGGAGCCACCACCGCCACCAGGACGGTTGTAGTTGTATCCGGCTTCAGGACGGGCGGCGGCCAGCGCCAGGCAGGACATTAGGATGAAGGCTTTCATGGCTGAACAATCACGGGTCAACGGTGCGTATGGGTTATGGATACTAGATGGGGATGCGGATTCACGGCTTTTTCGTTCACAACGCACACACTTAAGCACTCGGCACTATTCCACAGTAATCCTCGGTCTGTGGTTTTGTATAGATGTACGGTTTTTTGGAAAGAACAGAAACAAGACGGGGATTCAGTTAGACGGATTGGGTTAACTCAAAGCTTATAGTGCCTCACGTTGCTATATCCTCGGATTGCACTTGGCTGCTGTTTATTAGACCAAATCAAATGCTTCACTGACGAACCACTGCAGCCGCATCACCAATTTATACAGAAATCCAGCCAGATGCACGGCACCACTACCACAATATCAGCAGTTGTTGTATCTGCGAGAGGGTCTCCGTTTCGGCTGGGTTTTTCGTTTTTCGTTTTTGGAGATGGTGATGGTGATGATGATGATGATGCGACTTTGCTTTCTGGGCACTGCGCATGCGTGGCGAGCAGGCCAATAATGAGGCGCTGTCTTGGCCATCTGTCTGTGTCGGTGTCTGCAAAAGTATCTGTATCTTGAACGGCATGTTCGCTTGTATCTGTGGGGTTACCGTCTGTTTGTCTGTGTGGGATGGCAAGTGAAACCGAAATTACCGCACAATCAACTTATTACAGCACCGCCGATTTCCCGCTGTCGGATGTGCTGGAGAGCTCTCTCTGAGCGCCTCGTTTTGGCCACACATTTTGGCCAAGTCGAGACCCAGTGTCGTGCACTTTCGCTCTCAGCGCCGCTGGGCTGCCGCTGCTTTTGCCGCTGCTGGGTTAAAACCGATCCCTCACTTCAGCGTCAGCTGGCCTGGCGAGCGGAGGCTTTCGTGGGGTCGAATTTGGAAAATTTCTGCACGCTTCTGCTCTCAACGAAAGTGAAAATCGTAGGAAAACTCTCTGCGAACAATGGCAATTTCGAATAATTTGATGTCTGTCTGTGCATCTCTGGGCTGGCATTGTGTTTCATTTTCTAAGGGGGACAAATTTCCTGCCCCTCGCACGCCAAATGCGAATACGTGCCATGGTGGATGACTGAGTGAATTAGTGAGACTGTGATTGTGACTGCGAGAGTGTGTAAGTGTGCCACTGTGCGAGGCCTACGATCCGTAGATTCTCCGTATAGATAATGATATATCTGGGTTGGCCGTGTCTGGTGTGCGAAAGTAATTGCCAGGCGGGATCGTACTTATCGCCAGACATCCTTGGGGCTTGGGCCATGGCAAATAAATCACAAATAATGTTGGCTCTGGATGGGGTTTGTTTTTAAAACCAAAATGGGAATGGTGCTTGAAACATATACTTTTCTGTGAAAAAGTATGGCGAAATCTTACATCGTTTGTTGAGTAAGAAACAAGTCTTTTTTTGTGGAAAATTCAAAAAATATATATACAAAATATACAAGACTTCAGATCTCATTCTACCTATGGCTAAATATTCAATTTTTATGTTGCAAATAAGCCAGATATTTTAATTATGTTAGTTTATTGCAACCGTTACTCTCTAATGGCTCACGGAATTGATGAGTTGCGCAATGCAAACTTGTAAACAAAATTAAATCCAGTTAAATGGCCAGACCTAACACATGTTTTTTATCAATGCACGTAATGTTATTAAAGCCAATTTATTTCTTTCCACTGCCACTTTACGTATTCAGGCAGCTAATTGTGTTAAGTTTAATGAAGTGGTCCATCAGTTCGACTGAACGCTCAATGAACCGAATACAAAGCAGCGAAAGGTGACAGAGAGTGTAATTTGAACCAACAAGTGTTCAATTAGATGTCAGTTTTCGGGTCAGCATTTTTATTGTTCGATTCGATGCGATTTTTAAATTTGTGGCGATTTATAGCGTGTGGCGGCAGCTTCAAAAGGCTAGTTAAGTGAAAAACCATCTTTATGCAAACATAAAGGCATAAAACATAAAATACATTTTCAAGCATATTCAGGGGGAACGAATTGGGATGTAAAATAAACCCTGGGTGGTACAGTAAAGACTCAAATACAGTAGTTGACATGGACATATCATTAACACCTTTATGGCCCAACATTAAAAATCAATAAGTGTATTTCACTTTTTGGCACATCATAGTTTTGTTTGACACTGTTTTCATGCCCACTCGATTACTCATATTTCTTCAAGCTAATGGATTGAGCATTTCTCCAATCCTGGTAATTAAATTCGAGTGCCCATGAATCACGGCAATTCATAAACGACACTTGACAAACGACTTTGTGGCTTGGTTGTGTGTAATTCCCACCTGGTGGGGGGAAAACGCAACTACGCCTTCTGATGCAAGTGAGGATGTCGGCTTAAACTCCCGCTCTTAGGAATAATAATAATAAAAATTAAAACGCAACTGCAGTCAGCTGTCAGTCGCGCAGCGTTTCCTATTGCGATTTCACCTTGAATCGCTCTCAGTGGTTGCATAACCGAAAAGAGCTACAAAAAGGCCATTTCTTCGGGCCAAGTTGAGCCAGGAGCAAGAGTTGGCATATGCAAACACTGTTTTGGCTAACGAGCGTCGAGCGATATTTCGTGTATTGACAAACTTGTGGCCGCAATAAATTGCTCTGCCTGGGAAACGAAATCGAGTTGAAAGAGCCCAAAGAGCCGAATTTAGCCGAATTCAAAGCCTGGCCAACAGCACCCGCCACCAAGGAGCAACTGGTGGCCGTTCAATCTGCATTTTCGCTGCCTCCGAATGTCACTCGATGGATGGGAATGCAAATCGTAGCTGCAATCCAAGTTCGAGTTCACATCTGAGTCCATGAAAAGCGGTCGCCTTGAAATGCACAAGTCTTGGAGTTTCTACTCCCAAAATACCCTGAAAAATCAGTCAAACTGCTACAAGTAGAAGAAAAAATTGTTGAAATATGGAATGCCATACCTTGTTGAGCTGGGAAAAATATTCTCTAACAACTGGCATTCCAATTTTTTTGATTTAAAAAAAAAAAAATTTTTTTTAATTTTTGCAAATTTTGATGATGGTACCCCTTATCAAAATCGAAAATTTTGGCAAAAAATTTTTTTTTCCATCTCAGCCTGGAAATAGTTGGGTTCAATCCTCTAGGTAATCAGATGAAAAAAAATGCATTTCGGCGGACTGTGGTTCGCTTCTAAGCCAAGTTATGCCAATAAACCCGTAAGAAATGGTCTTTTACCTAAGGACCTAATTTGGATTTTAATAAAATTTGTTGTCATATGGAAATATTCCAATATTCCTTAACAAATATTAAAAATTAAGAAACTACTAAAAGATGAAAAAGGGTATCGGCTGGTTTAAGGGTGAGTATGCGCTTTCCTTTTCCCAAACTAAGCGGTTTTCATTCAACTTCCGAATGCCGCTGGGAAAAAAGCGCCAAAAGCGCGCCGATCGCCAAAAGGCCAAAAAGAAACCGCAGCTGGCGATAAATCTCACGCTCAACAATGCGGCTAAAAATAAGCGGCTAAAAGCAGCGTTCGGCGGTCGGTCGACTGAGGCTGCCAAACAGTCAATGGGGATCACAATGCCTTTGGGACGATAAAGAGCGTTTAAATTGGAGTAAAGTCAACTGTGTGAAATTTAGTGTACTGGAGTGCTCGACTCAGTAAGTTGTAATGTGGGCCGTAATTTGAATGCGTTGCAAAGGCATTGAAATGCAAGTATTGGACAACTGGATGCTATGTCATTCGGACTTTCAAAATAGGTTTTGCAACAGAAGTAACATTGCTCCCAAAAAACATATTGTTTAGCTAAGGTTATTCCTGTTCGTGTTTAAGTGACAAATTGAATCGCCAAATAAACTTAGTACCAACCACTAAATTTCCAATGTACGTTGTAAATAAACTCTTGGCATGTATCCGTTTGGTGTAGCAGTAATTAAAATTTCGTGCAGCTATAAAGTCATTTGCACTTTATGTGTGATCCCACAAAATGTCAGGGGGATTTGTTTACTCAGGCATCTCAACAGGCATATCTGGGAATCCAATGACTTGAACTTTGTTCACTGGGCTGACGCCTCAGTGGGCGGTGAATCAACAGAAAGTTGCATAAAAGATACAAAGATGCAATACTTTCAGGTTGACACTGAAAGATAAAGCACACGCAATGGGCCGAAATATGGGTGCATCCCTGGGAAGTGGGGGATTTTTATGATTTTGGGGCCGGGCCGGTCCGGGGGTCGGCGGATGATGGCTAGGAAGTCGGCTGAGACGCCGACAGTTGTTGCTTCCTGCATCCATTGTCGCTGGTTTTTACCGGCGGCATCATCCCCTCAACTGCACCTCATCCTCCACCTCGGGTTTCCATCTCCAGTCTGCCCAGCAACACTTCCTGCTTGTTAGGCAAACGGCAGCGTGCAAATTTTATATTGTTGTGTGCGATTTCTGTGTTTAGGCTCTTTGCGTTTTTCTCTGGCTCTTTATTTTTAGTTTGTGCAGCCGACTGAACGGTTTCGCCGTTTTTACATTTGACATTTTTGGTGTTGCCTCAGTTGTTGCATGTTGCATGTGGCTGTTGCCGCCGGCGCGTCACTTGCATCTTCCATCTGTTCGCGATGGTATCGTCGCATCGGTGCATCGATTCGAGATGTGCAGACTTATTATTTATTGTATGTTCGGATGTCCAACGGCTCAAGATGTTCAATTCAATTGAATTTGTTGCTACTCGAACTCTTCTGCCGGCGCAAAAGTTTCTGCTCGCTCACTTTTAAATGCTAATTAGTGTCAACGACTTTTTGCCACAGAGTTGGCTTTTATATTTTGGTTTTTCGCTTAACGGTTGGCCATTTGGCAATTCAAGTAACGCGGCAAATTGTCTAAGGTCGCCGGCAAATGAAAATGTTAATGTCTGATAGCGAATGGGCCATTCAGAGTGGTTAGCTGTCTTCGAGCCGAGCTCAAATGTTTGTCATTAACCTTCATTTGCAGGCGGCAATTAAAAGTTCTGTTGTGCGTCTGAAGAAACTTTTGCCCATTGTACCTAAATTGGATTTGGATTTACAGAGATTTCTACCGCAAATCTCAGTTCGAAAATGGATTAAACGATTGCTATCTTCCACACCAGTTTTGTTTACCACTTTACGTTAAGTAAGAAATGTTTTACCTTGTGTAAAATGCATTAAATTCTGCACCTTTTCAAAGCGTTTGCGTTTTTCATTCCATTCCGTAAACACACTATTCCACCCGTATCCTGGCAAATTATTGCCTCCACTTTGCGACCCACAAGAAGCTGTTAATTTAATTGCAACTTCTATTCCTTGAAACACTTTCCCACTTGCGGATCCCCGTTTCTTGTGGCCTGCAGTCAGAATTT